TGAAAGTGAGGAAAGAAAGCTGGCTAGGAGGTAGGAAGTGAGGACGGATTGGTGTGGGCAGAGACTACCCTCACCTGTGCCTGTATGTGGGGAGCGGATTATGAGAGGCCTGTGAGAACTTGACATTAGCACAGTTGTGTTCAATGATCTACAGGCTGAGTTTGGCATAGCCCCAGCTGCAGAAGAGAGCAAGAGGCAGAATGCAGCACAGCTGCTTTTCCTAAGTTGTTTATGTTCAGAGAAGTAAGAATGCAGGTTTCTGTTGTTACACTGTCATACCCCTGCACAAGAACTGTTGTTCCACCTCGTTTACCCCTATATATATATAAGACTCAAAACATGAAAGTGTTTGATGGCCCCACTCCAGAGGAACTAACACAGAAACTTAAAGCGACAGAGGTCAACATGAGAAGGGGATCAGGAACCAGTGTAAAGATCAGTTAGAGATGAGTCAACTTGGGTTGTAACACATGTGTACATGGAAGCAATGCTAGGAATCTCTCTCTATAGCTATCCTTAACTCGACTAGCAAAAATGATTTGTCTTTCTTATTACGCTTATGTCTTCTCTTCAACAAGATTAGAGATAAGGGCAGAACAGGTTCTGCCTGAAAGTGAGGGGAGGTTGGGGGGGAGAATGTGGGGGCAGGGGGCAGGGGGGAGAAATGACCCAAATAATGTATGTACATGTGAATAAATGAATTTAAAAAAGTAAAATTAAAAAAAAAAGACTCGCTGAGGATTGATGGGGAATTGATTGATGGGTTTGGATTGGTAGGCTGCTTGCGAGAATGACGCTGCTGCTGCCGGCTGTTGGTGTGTCTAAGGACTGAGACTTTAAGAGAGAACATGGGACACTGCAAGTCTAAGGTCCAAGTCTTTAAGAGAGATTAAAGAAAACATTGGACAGTGTGAGTCTGAGGAAAGAGACTTTAAAGAACAGAAAAGAAGAAAGACTTTAGAAGTAAGATTTTAAAGAAGAGAAAAGAAGCAAAGTAAAAGAAGAGACTAATAGAGAAAAGAAGTAATGAGGCTGTTGTGCTTCTCCATCCGACCACCCAGCACACCTGACCCCAACTTTATGCATGTTTGTCTGCTATCTTTTATCCTTTCTGCATCTCTAGTAGTCCCCAGTTAGGTTGGTAGAATGGAGCTCAAGAAAGCTTTTGGCACCTGTAGCCCCGCAGAGCACGAATGTTGTTCTTTTTCTACTTCATTTCATCTGGGCATCCATGGAAAATTCTAACCTGGAACCATTAAGAAAGGGGAATCATGGGAATTTTGGCTGTGAATTCTCCGACTTGACTGGGATCAACCTTACTGGAGCAGCCAACACTGATTCATGTATGAATCCAAATACATGGGGAAAGTGACCCGTTTTGTGTTTTTTTCAGTTCCCCTGCACCAATTCAAATATATTAAAGTCTTTTTGTGATTACGTTCTATTGTATCATATACTTGGGGCTAATCCTGTATGTTTTTTTCTTTGTCAGCTTGATTTTATTAGGAACACTGTTCCTAGGTGTGTTGTAAACTTACCTTCAGTGAAGCTTTTCCTGGGTCTTGTTTTGCTTCTATCAAGTGCCTGTGAGACTCCCAGCCCAAATATAATAATTTCTCAGTTGTGGATTTCTGCACATAAAGAGAGTGAATTTGGCTCTAAACATGGATGAGTCCAAGCCCAGGGTTTCAACATCTCAGGGTAAATTTTTATTTCCCTCATGTGGAGTCCAGGCTGAGACTGACTTCTTGGTCCACCACCCTGAGTCCATGAGTGGATTTTTTTTTCTTTTTTTTAATGCCTTAGTTTGATTGTAGGGAGACTCAGTTCCAACTCCTGCCCTACACTGGCCCAAAGTTTGATCTCTTGTTTCTGTTCCAGTTAAATACAACATATAACTTACCTACTTCCTCCTGGCTCTGCACTAAAATGATGATGAAGTGGTAAAAAGACAAAAATGCTGAAGGATGAGAAAATGGAAGAGGAGGTAGCAGTAATGAAAATACAGTGGCTAGAAAAATAGATGGATGAGTGATAACTCAACAGACTTAAAAAAAAGCTGAAATTGATGGTGGAAGCATGAGAAACCCAAAAGCAAGCCACATGCAACAGTACGTACTTAGGCTGTGGAATCCAAGGCATTGGGTACTTTTGAAACAAGAGCACTGGCTAAATGTTTGTATAAACAGCAGCTCATCAGGCCAGCCTCTCCCTCCCCAGCATTGCTAATGAAACCTCTTCCCACACCTGTGCAAGTGCAGATGGTAATGAACTTTCTGGAAAGGTTGACCAGAGGGACTGTGTTATCAGGAATACCAGGCAACACTGGTGAAGAGGGACAGAGAATATCAGGCAAAAAAGGTGCAGATACAGGTGGAAGAATGAAACCCGTGGTTTCCCAAGCAATGCCACTCTTAGAACATTGTTAAAGTCTTAACAACTTGCTTAGGTATTTGGAAGGTCCCTCTCTGGAATATCCAGCCACACCAAGAGAGAGGTCTTGCCGATCCTGACATCTGGAGTCAAATGGACCAGAATCTCCTACAGCAAAGCCCAGAGGCTAAGAAGCCTGCCTACAGGCTTCATAATATTATTATATAAATATACATTCATATAATAACTATATTATTTGAGGATAGTAATAGCAGTAAGGGTTGCATATGTAACAACTCTCTGATGTTATTATTATCCCTGATTTACAACTGAAAAAACTGAGACACGGTGATATTAAGTAACATGTCCAAGCTCACACAGCCACCGTGCATGCCTTGAAAGGATTAAACATGTTTGAGAATGTTAACAAACTGCAAAGAGAAGAAGTAAGATGACATGGGAACATGGGACTTCATTTGTAACATTTTCTGTCTTAGAGATCTTAAGCAGTTGTGGCCAATATAGGTGTCAGTTTTTGCTATGTTATCTTTTAAGACTTGTTTTTAGAGTAAAACTGAGTGGTAGGTACAGAGATTTCCTATACACCCCTCATTCTCACACATGTATGGTCTTAACCTTATTCACATCCCTCACCAGACTGATTGGTACATTTGTTAAAACCTGTGAACCTACAATGACACAGGATTATCACCCAAAGTCCATAGTTAACATTAGGGTTCACTCTTGTTCTACATTCTTTGGGCTTGGATGATAGAGTAGTTTTACTGCCCTCAAAATTCTTGTGCTACCTGGCCATCCCTGTTTCTGACCCAGTACCCAACAGCCACAGATATTTTGCTGTCTCCATACTTTTTTGCCTTCCCTAGAGGTAATAGAAGTTGGAAGCATATGATATGTGGCCTTGTCATATTGACTTTCACTTTGTTACACACATATCTTTTCATTGCTTGCTTGTTCATATCTTTTTGTTGTTTAATAATATTTCATTGTCTAAATGTGTTACATTATTCTTAATATTTGTATGTTTGAATATTTCATAGCTTTTAGCAATTAAAGCCATAATCCCAGAAACACTTGGCCCACTGCTGAGTACCCAGGGCCACAGGGGCTGACTAATAGAGCCATAGATTCTGTGAATTGACATATTTTTTCCTGGGCTTCACAAAGTCCCTGTTTCTTTACAGTTTTGTAGAATGACAGTGTCTTCCTGCCTGTGATGTTGTGGCTGGAGGTGGCAACAATATAACCTCAGACGGAAAGGACAGTGCTCTGCATACAGTGTGGTTTCCTTAAGAGGCTTTGCTAGGAATTTCGGTGTTATTTCCAACATCATTGCTATCTCTGTGACTTAGAATTGAACTGCTTGTGCTTTTTTGTATGGCTCTTTTGTTACAGAAAATCAGAGTGACTCCCCTGCTATTTGACATATCTGGGGGCTGGGTATCTACTAAACTAAATATTGTCATGAATGCTTGATTGATAGGTATTCCAGATACACAGTACTTTCAGAAGTTAACAAAGTTAAATTTCTGAGTTTAGAGTTGGAAGGAACACAACTTCCTTATTTTAAAAAGGAAGAAATTGAGGCTCAAAGAGTTGAATAATATTTACAAGATTACACAGTTTATGTTTACTATATCACAGAGTACCATGTCATATACTTAAGCCAAAAACAAAGCAAAACTAGGGGTTATTTTCATGGGTTGATTTGTAAGACTCCTCAAGAGGGCCTCATGGGTATAACACAAACTTACAAACTTTGGAATGCAGTATTTGTGATAGAGTCAGAACACCAGGTATAAAGCTTTTTCATGTCTATTTTTTTTTAAACAGTACTGGGGATCACACCCAGGGCCTTGCACATAGAGGGCAATTACACTACCACTGAGCCATGTCCCTAATCCTTCTTTCTTATATCTTATGTTAAATAAAAGATAAGTTCTTGAGATATAAGTTGCTTATTGATAATGCTAAAGAAGTATTTACACACCTGCCTGAGTTGTATAAATGTAGGTATCATTTGGGATCCTAGTTTTTCTTTTAGTCAGAGGGAGAACCCCTAACCTGATGTGCTAGAATTGGATCAGAGGTATAGATCTCATTTTTAACTTTACATGCTTTACTCTTATTGGATGGGGATTGTTGGCAACAGGAGTCTGATAATTTTTAAGGCTTTTAGGATTGTTGAGGGTGTGTGTGTGTGTGTGTGTGTGTGTGTGTGTTCACAGCAGTTCTAATTTGAAGTGGTTGGGTGATGGAGAGTTCTAATTGGGTAGTGCTGGAGTTATTTTTATATTTCCTCCACAGCACTCAAGTAAGTGAAGTGCTTCTTAGGTGCCCGTTTGTAATATCTACTGGAAAGGCAATTGGATGTTCTGTGCTGGCCCTTCACTTTGGTAGCATTGAATGATTCTCATAAACAAATGCAGCATCTCTCAGGATCAAAAGTGGTTCAGAAAGATGAAGTTTAGTAAACTTGGGTATTTATTTTGACTTAAGTCTTTCATACACAACAAAGAAATCATTGACAAACTGCCTATAAAATAGGAACGTACGTAAAATGAGATTGCCTTAATTTCATTTTTATGACCTGGTTTATCTTGCAGTGTGTGAACTTAAATCTCCCTCCATGAGTGATTTTCTGTGGGGGCTGGAGAACTCGGGCTGGCTAAGGCACATTAAAGCCATTATGGATGCAGGAATCTTCATTGCAAAGGTATGGGTGCAGAGAAAACAAACTAAGGGGTCCACCAGCAAGCCGCTCTGACTTCCAGTGGTGATCTGTTCCCTATGTGGTGGACACCCTGTGTGCCACACTGAGTGAGATGTGATTTTGCAAAGTACAGTACTCAGTTAATAGGAAGTCAACAGTGATCATATGCCAAAATATTTCCAGAATATTTCTTCACTTAGACTTACTCCTGGATTCAGGAAAGAATTTTCTGTAAAAGAGTACAAACACATGCAAGTCTCCTCAGTGGTAGGGCTTGAGGCTTATCCCTAGTAGATCCTTTTTTTCAGTTATGACATGAGCAAAATTTATGTTCTTATAGCTAGTGGGTGAATTTACACTCTGTGATGGGAAGAATATTCCTGCAGCTTTTGTAGAAGATGGTTTTTTTGATGCATTCTGTTGTGTTGTTGAGAGTTTTAATTTTTAAGCAAATTCATCTTAGATTTGTACAACATATCTGTCTTTTCTGATGGCATCGTACATTCTTCTTTATTAGAAAATCACTTATTCAACAGATAATTCTTTAGCACCTGGGGCTGTTCCAAATGCCATGGATGCAATACTGAATAAGTCAGATCAAGTTTCTTCTCTTTTAGAACTGCCATTTTGATGTGGGAGACAAAAAAGTGTAAACAAATAAAAAAAAAGATCTCAGATGGTGATAAATGCTATGATGAAGTCTGTATTATATTTTCTAGTTTATGTTTTTCTCCCAAGATAGTAGGCTAAAAGTAATGTACACATTTACGATAGCAATGGAAATTCTTTCTTAGCAGATTTTCTGGTAGAATTTTTACCTTTGTTTTCCCCTCCTTCCCTTTCCCCTGGATCTATTACTTGGTTCTTATCCTTTTATCTATAACTTCATAGTTTTATACTTAAAAATTTTTGTACCTTTTTCCTTTTTGGAAAAGGTAGGGGGCATTAGCAACCCCAGCAGTTCAGTAAGGCTTAATGTAGAAACCAGAGAGAGGAGAGAGGGTGGCAGGTGGGTCACAGAATATGTCATGACATGTTTGCATAGGATGCATATTTTTTTGGATGTTAGGTGACTTGAGCTGTCGCCTCTGGATGTAAGGGGATGGGAAGGAAAACTTAGCTACTAGCATCAAGCCAGTCCTTGGCACTACCTTAACAAGGTTTGACGTAAAGAATGAACAGGTGTTTGTTTTTTTCCTGTTTCTTTCTGTAAGTCTGTGACCAAACCTATTTCTGATGGGGGATTTTTCTTGTTTATAGCCTTTCTTTGTGACTCTTTGCCATCGGGTGTTTTTTAGGCAGTTTTGGAGGAAGGGGCTAGCGTGCTTGTTCACTGTTCTGATGGCTGGGACAGGACTGCCCAAGTGTGCTCAGTGGCGAGCCTCCTTCTGGACCCGCACTACCGGACTCTGAAAGGCTTCATGGTGAGTGTGCTGACTGCTGGACTTTCCAAGAGAGACGTGGGGGCCCTGACCAGCAATGCACCTCTGTTTTAAAGAACTTTTGGTGCCTTTTTTTTTTTTAATCAGCATTATTTTTCTCTTAAACAAGCAAGGTTAATTAAAGGGGAAAAGGATGAAATAGGCTTGACGTAAAGAGGTGGATTTCTGGGATACTGAAACCAATTCAAACCAGTGCTGCTGGATGGGCATTTGGGGGACAAATACAAAATACATTCAGTAGTTTGGATGATAATTTTATGTACAATTTGCTTATAAGTATTTCACAACTTTGGATGAGATGACTGAACAGTACGCAGTGCTTTTGTGGTTTTTCCTTAAATGATGAGTGTGTCCTCCCCAGCAGCTTGATCCTGTAGGTGTACATCATAGTGGTACACGGTGCTTCCAGCTGCACAGTTGCCTAGGGGGTGAAGCTGTGGCTAGGCTGGTGCCATTTCCTAATGATTGCAGTGCTTCCCAGTGACTGGGAGGTTGCCTCTGGCCTGCCTTTTGACCCTCAACAGCTTAGAAAGTCCCTCAGTTAATCCTGAACCCCTGCTAGGTACAGATGCTGACAAAAGAGCTGAGCTGGAGAATCTTTACTGCTAGATTTCCACTAGCAAGTGTTATCAGCTGACACCTGGGGACAAAAGAGAAGAGAAACAGGCTTCCTCTCCAGAGCTGTCCTTTTTTTGGAGGAAGTGTCCAAGAACTTCAGTTACCTGTGGCAGCACTGAGACTTGACAGTGACACTCCTGTTACAGACCCTTCTCCTGGACCATTATGAGGCTGGATTCCTTTATTACATTTGGAGTGGAAGGTTCCCTGTCACACACTGCCATAGATCTTTCTCTCACACACCATCATTTCCTGCCACTGACTTTATCCTCATTGTGCCACATTAATTCATGGAACTTCCAACACAAAGAAAACGCTTTACATTGTCAAGGGCAGACTTCATCTGGTCCATATATTTCTAGGGAAAACTCATGTCCATTTTAGAGCATTGGTGATATTAATCCATATTATTTGATTAAACCTTTAGAAAAAATCCAGGATACTATGAACTCATGGTACCCATAATTCCAAAGCAGGGCTGAATTTTCTAATTTATACTCCTAAACCCCATGATTGTGGAATGCAATGTGTAATAAAGATCAGTAGAAAACATTCCTAGTGATTTCTTATTGAAAGGTTAGTATTTCATATTATATAGAGAGGCAGCATCACATACTGGTTAAAAGATGGGTTTTGGAACAGAGAGACCTAGGTTATGAAGTGGTATCCACAGTTTTCATGCTAGTAGCATGATCTTTGCTTCAGCTTTGCTTCAGCTTCCCCTTCTCTAAAATATAATAACACTTGTCCCACAATTAAATGAGATCACACATGAAGCAATGTAAGCAATGCCTGACACAGAGGAAGCACTTAGTGGGTGCATTCATCCATTCTCATTCATTATTTTCCTGTGGGTAGCCTTCAACTTTACCCTTCCTGTGTGCAATGGTGGATAAAGCATCCTCAACCATTTATAGGTTACCTGAGGATAGTGACTTAGTGACTTCTGTTCCAAGTACCTCTAAATCCTGTGGTCTGTTAGTTTCCTCATTCGCTTCTCTCTGTGATATTTCATTTTCTTGCGTAGGTATTAATCGAAAAGGACTGGATTTCCTTTGGCCATAAGTTTAATCATAGGTAAGAAATACTTAATGATCTGTTGTTTTGAATATTTAGAATAAGAACATTGATTCTGAAGTTTTCAGTGGAGTTCCTGGGGCAAAATAACCTTGGTTATGAAATGTTTCTTACTTTGTGTATCTTACTTGGAAAGTTTGTTTGTTGTGTATCACAGATAAATGAAGTTCCCACACTCTGATTACTTTCAGAATTAGCTGGGTAGAACTAACAATGTTAAATTGTTCTAGGAGAGACAGAGAGTGCTTGTTCATTCCTTGACCTAGAAAGGATCAGCTCTCACTTTGTCTCAGGAGTCTTTGGAGCGGTAATAAAAGACAGTGGGCCAGGCTTTGGAGCCGGACAGATCCATTTTGAAATCCAGGTTGTAGCATTTACTGCCTGTCCTTAGCCATGTGGCGTCTCGACTTTTGTCTTCCTATCTGTGGAATGGAGCTGTCCTTTCTCTTCCATAGAGTTGTGGCAAGAGTTTTTACAAAGTACATGCATCTCCCAAAAGCTGTTATTTATGGAACAGCCAGCCTCCTTGTGTTAGTGTTGATGAGAAAGCCTGCTCTATATTCGAATGTTCTCTAATCTCAGAATCATAAATGTAGTAGCTATACTTAGTCTTTTGGTGCTAAGATTTAAATTTAGATGGTAGGTTAATAATTTCATTAGACCTTTTGACATATATCTTTAACTATTTCAATATGTTTTCCTAAAGTAAGTTCTAAGTTCGTGCAACTGCCCATAAGTACTTTTGTGACTTTTGCATTTAGCATTAATTGATCATCAATTCTGTCGGTATCTGGAATTCTGTTTTCATAATTATTTCCCCAGGAAAGCATAATTATTTACTTTGTTTGTTTGTTTTGAGATGGGGATTCACTGTGTTGTCCAGGCTGTCCTCACACTCCTGGGCTCAAGCAATACTACCTCAGCCTTCGGAGTATTGGGATTATACGCACATACCACTGTACCTGGCTAATAAATTCCATTTTACAAATAAGAAAAAGAAAGCCCCCAAACAATTAAGTAAATTTCTTCAGATCACATTATTATTTTCAGTTTTTGGGTTCTGCTGACTATGTGTTAGGAAGTTAGGATCTCTGAGGTAAAAGATAACAGAAAGAACATGGAAATTGCTGAAGAACTGGATAACTGTTTGTCTGGCAAGGAAAGAATATATAGGGCAATCCTTTTTAAAAGACAAGTGGAACTGAAACTTTTGAGAAGTTTCTAGACAATTTCTAATGTTTCCACTCTTGGACAAACTCTTAAACTGACACTAATCATTTTTGTTCCTTGAGTTGGTTAGTCATTGTGGCAAAGATGAGGTTCTATGTTCTTTGTCTTTGATGGCACCCATCTCACCTTTTGAATTCTTACTAAAAATCACAGCATATTGATTGAAAATAAATATAAATCTGAAGGGAAGACTGGTGTATTCTTGAAAACAAAAATAAGGGAGGTAAAATAGTATCTGCAGAACATTATGACAAGTTTTAAGTGCAAGAGAAATAGGAATATATGCCTAGACACCTGGGAAACCTCTATGTTTTCAAGTTGTCTGCCTCATTCTTTCCTAGCAAACAATGCAAGAGTAAAAAACCCTGAAGTTGCTTAAAAATTTTTTTTCATTCTTCCATTGGTCACTAGTAAAATGGAAGATTTATTTCAGAAGTTCTGATGTACTTTAAAGTTTGAATTTGAAAAATGCTTTTTCAGAGAGGTTCCTTGAGTTTTATCTCTAGCTTTGACAGTTTCTTTCGTAACTATAACATGTTCTCTATCCAGACCTTCATCACAAAGTTTGTTTTGAAACTGGAATTTAAAGTTAATTTTTTACTTCACTGTGAGTTTATAAGACTTAGGAACAATGCTGATTTTATTATTTTTGCACTTAAGAGTTTCCTAATTAAATGACCTTATCAAGTCTTCAATATTGTTTTATAGATACGGCAATCTAGATGGTGACCCGAAAGAAATCTCTCCAGTGATCGACCAATTCATTGAGTGTGTCTGGCAGTTAATGGAACAATTTCCTTGTGCCTTTGAGTTCAATGAGAGGTTTTTGATTCACATTCAACATCATATTTATTCCTGCCAATTTGGAAACTTCCTATGTAACAGCCAAAAGGAGAGACGAGAACTCAAGTAAGTGTTTTGGTGTTTAATTTTTATCTAAAGATTTGGGTAATTGAGAATTTCAAGTGGCCGTTCATAATTTTGAAGATTATTTCATTTAGTCGCATAATTTTGAAGATTATTTCATTTAGACTGAAGTTCTTTTCCTGCTCCTGACATCATAAGTGTTCAGATAACAATTACTAGTTTCTTTCCAGCTGTTACATGATACAAAAGAACCAGGATCGGTCATTTTCAGACTTTCTTTCATTTTAACAGAACTCAAGAGAGAACATACTCTTTATGGTCTCATCTGTGGAAGAATCGGGCCGACTACCTGAACCCTCTGTTTAGAGCTGATCACAGTCAGACCCAGGGAAGCCTCCATCTCCCTACAGCTCCATGCAACTTCATGTATAAGTACGCAATTGATTTCCCTTGTGGAAATAAGTTATTTTAAGATTATTGGGATGAAGAGAATGTAGGTTCTACTAGTGTATACTAGGTAGTATGTTGTATGGTATGTTTTGGTTTCTTCTCTGATCTTATATGATATGGAAAAATGACTCGTCATCAAAAAGACAAACAGAATAAACTACGACACTACATTCCTTCTCCCTACTCACTCCACAACACATACTTAGTGGCTTTTTTTCTTCTATAGATGGTTGTATTCTTAATTATTTCAATATTATTTTGCTAGACTTTTAAAGCAGGATATCGATTCTTCTTTAATACTAAAATAGAAGCGTGTATGGCTTCTTAAAACTGCTGTTTACACAGCAGTTGAAACACTGCAATCGTTTGTCTTATAATTAATTAATAGCCAGTTATTATTTCTCTAAATATTTTGTTGCAGAAAAAGCATTCTAGGCATGGTGGGTAAAGGACACTGCGTTCCTGCCTTAACTACTTTTCTGTTCTAAGTAAGAGCAGGTCTAAGGATAGTCCTGTGACAGCCCCATTCATTCTCATTTGCATTCCAGTATGCTTTACTGTGTAAGATAAAAGGAGATTTATTGCACATGCAAATGTCAGTTTTTGGTGACTGTTGGAAAACAAAAGCTAAATATTTCAAGTTTAAAAGCCTCCCTCTGCAGCTGAAAGACTAAATATAAAATCCCTAGTTTTCAGTTTAAAATACTAAGATATTTTCTCAAACCAAAATTGAAGAAAAATAGCAACATGTAGTGCTTCAACCTACTGTAGAAAAATATGTTATGTGCCATCCAATTCAGTATCATATATGCAAGAAGAGGCTTCATAAAGCTATTCTTCCCAGAAGAAACTTACTGACCGAAGAAAAAGAAAACATCGACATGGGTCTTTGTCCAGTCTATAATTTGTATTTGTATTAAGATTGTGGGTCTGTGATAAAAAGATGCAGTACAAGACTTGAAAATGGGAATTCTCAGCTTGGGATATAGTGGTATCACAAAGCTCTGTTTCCTTCCCAGGTTTTGGAGTGGAATGTATAACCGCTTTGAGAAGGGGATGCAGCCTCGACAGTCTGTGACAGATTACCTGATGGCAGTAAAGGAGGAGTCACAGCAGCTGGAGGAGGAGCTGGAGGCCCTAGAAGAAGTAAGACGAACTTGCTATTGTTAATCTGTTTTCTTAATTTGCTTCTCTTTTCTCTCCCTCCCTCCCTCTCTTCTCTTCTTCCCTCTACCCCTTCCTCCTACAATAACACCATATCATGTACTTGCCCAAGAATTGACAATAAATTTCTATTGTTTGGGACCTAAATTTTAAAGTGAGTCTTAATGTTATAAATACAATTAGACCCTTTTTAAAAATATGATATATTTAGAAATATGGATCTACCCAAAGAAATGAAGAGATCAGAAGTGTAATAAAGGTCAAATAAAATATTTCCTTTTCTTCAAAAAAAATGTAGAAAAAAGCATTAAAAACTGGGAAATTGTCAATAGTTAAGGATGTTCATTATACCTCATAAGGCAATTCATATTGGCAAATGTCTAAAGATTGGCAAAATATCACAAGTTGGATTTAAAGCCAGTTCCTTTGCCTGCTGGATATTTACCTGCAGGCTCTGAGAATCATGGTTTTATGGTTCAAGTACAGGTCATTTAGAGGTAGCTGGTGAGGCTGACTCCTCTTACAATATTCTAGAAAACACACCTTTCAAGATATATTGTGGAAGATCTTAAGTCTAGGTTTAGAACATCAAGTGCACAGTGGAACCAGATAGGTAAGCCAATTTCACAAGGTTCAGCTTTTGGTTTTGAGAACTTTTGAAACTAAATAAATGGTGCCCTAGTATAAATCCTTAGGGTCAAAGAGAACATCATCATATCCATTATGAAGAGGCCTGCCTTAACATCATTTATGTTTTATTGGAGAGGTAGGCTTTAACTATTTGTGCGTCAAGACCAATACCTTGCTAGTTGTGATGGTGCAGTTCCATAATCCCACCACTAGGGTGGTAGAGGCAAGAAAATGAAGCCAGCCTGGGGCTACATAGTAAGACCCTATCTGAAAAACATCAAAAAACAAATGACACACATAAAACCTAAAAAGAGCACCACCTCCCAAGAAAAAGTCCTGATGCCTAGGCACTATGCTTAAAAGTTCTAAATCTTCAGAGTACCACAGATGATTGCAAATTGTATCCATTGCTGAGCAATTGTGGGTTAAAGAATACATGGCAGAGAACTGAAATAAGCCACAAGTTAAGCTTTTAGAATTCTAGAGCCATTGCAGACCTTTGCCATTCAAAATTCCCTCATGTCATTGTTGGGGCAGTTTTATTTAGTGTTCCTTAAGACATCCAAGGATTGTAAGAAATTTAGGATTCTAATAGTCTATTCCAGCATCTTTTGTTAAAATAATTTAAAAATTATTTAGAATATCTAAAAGTACCTTAATGTTAAAATGTTGGCTCTTGTTTCTTTATAATAAAGTTAACATTTCTTAGACTGACATGTGATTTTTCCCACAATCTAGTCTAATCCTTTTTCAATTTTATTCTCCAGTATTCCTCCCTGTTAAAGTTGAACATTTTCTGCTTCTTGTGCACAGCTGACTACTTCCTACTTTGTGTTTTTCCTCTCACCGTCCCTCCTGCTGGGAATGCTTTCTAACCATCACTGGAGTGTCCAAGTTTCATTCTTTCACAATCCTACTAAAATATTCTCTCCTCCCTAAAGTTTACTCTGCTGTCTTCCCTCAAACCACACCTCCTTATCCCTCTTCAGTTTGCTTCTTCCAAATTCCTACATTACATAAACTCTGCATGTCTTTGTTGTAACACTCCAAGTTCTCTATGGCTGGATCTGGATTTATGTCTCTGTTCCTCCTACTGCCTAGCAATGGTGTGGTTCTGCACTAATAACTTATATAAGTGTGTTTTGAATGAATATATAGTACTTGATCTTATAATACCTCCCAAGGTATATTCAGGTAAAATGTACTTTGAACAGCCAGTACATCCATGACCTGATGAATGGAGGAACAAAATGTTGTATATCCATGTAACAGAGTACAGTTCATCCATAAAAAGCAAAGAACTACTGATACAGCACTACAACATGGATAATCCCGTGAGCATAAGTTAAGTGAAAGAAGCCAGAGAGAAAATGTCACATAATGCATGATCCATTGATATGAAATGTCTAAACTAAGCAAATTCATACAGACAGAAAGTTGATTAGTGATTGCCAGGTGCTGCAAGAGGAGAGAATAGGGAATGACTACTTCTGAGTATGAAATTTGGGGGAGAGGGAGTAATGAAAATGGTTTAAAATTAGGAGGTTTGGTTGCACAACCCTATAAACACCAAAAACCACTCAATTCTATATTTTTAAAGGGTGAATTTTATAATGAGTTATATCTCAATAAGATCAGAAAAACATCCTTGACTTTTAAAAAACATTTGAATTCAGAGGATGGAAATCATGTGAAACTACATAGGCATAGAAAAGAAAGTACTGGTGGCCAGGTATTTTACCTGTGTTATAGCATTCACTTTTATAGGAAACCTGTTAAGTTATTGCCATCCTGACATTGGAGATGAACAAAGAAAGCCTCACAGAATTTGTTCTGTACAGGTCATGAAGTCTAGGTTTGAACCCACATCTGTGTCCTTTATGTCCCAGCTTAGAGGCAGTGAATACTAAAGGCATACATATACAAAAGAAGTAACGATTTATGATTTTTTCCCTGAAATTGTTGTTTGCATTTTAGAGACTGGAAAAGATTCAGAAAGTGCAGTTAAATGGCACTCATGTGAAAAGTAAGCCCAGTGAACCCAGCAAATACTCAGGGTTTTCTACCTCAGATAACAGCACAGCCAACACTCCCCAGGACTACAGTGGGAACCTGAAATCATTTCCCTCCAGGAGCCCTTCGCAGGGCGATGAAGATTCTGCTCTGATTCTAACCCAAGACAATTTGAAAAGCTCAGATCCAGATCTGTCTGTGAACAGTGATCAAGAATCCGGGGTGGAGGATCTGAGCTGTCGGTCTCCGAGTGGTGGTGAGCATGCACCCAGTGAAGACAGCAGCAAGGACCGGGACTCTGATGAAGCTGTGTTTCTCACTGCCTGAGGTTTCCCTTTGGAGTTCCAAAGTAAAGGACACAAAGAAATACTTCCAAAAATAAGGGGACAGTGCAATTCAAAATAAAAATAACTCAAGAAGTGGACATCACTGAGAATTGTAACATGCAACTAAGAAAATGGTAAAAAAAATGTCCAACTCTTAGTTTCTTTACAGATACTGAAGAACAGGAAGTAGCCATTTCTTTTATCAAATATAAGAATTGCTCACTGTTTTGAAAGTCATTATAGACTATGAAAATTATATTCACTATAGAGCAATTACTCTGTCATCACTTGAGGTTATCAATATAAATCTTCCTTGCCATAGCATGCATCTATCAATAAGTCCCTCTCCCGCTTCTCTCACAATTGTTATTGTTTAGGAGCACAGTTTTTGTTTTCTAAAACATTTAACATTACCTTCCCTTCTGACCTTTTGACCTATATTTCTAAAGACAAAGAGTATTGTTGAGAATATACCTTTTTTGTTTTTTTGGCTAATAGATATAGTCCTAAGGAGATTTGAAACTTTTTAAGCTTATCCTTCAGATATAACAACCACTTTAACTTCTCCTTAGGCAAAATATTTTGCATTGTTATAATTTTGTTGTCTTTTTTTGGAACTGTCTCCTCACTTAAAAAATGCTAAAATTTGTAACTCACTTTCTCTCTGATATGAGCTTAATACCTAATAAAATAGAAGCAACACTCACTCTCTGGGTCTTACATATGAATCAGATCATGTTTGCTTTCTTGATAACCTTTTATTACTATTTCAGAGACTACACTATCAAGACCGTGTGACCCAACCACCAGCCTGATCCCAAAGTATAACACTATAAAGTTAGTGGGATAAAACGTCAGCAAGAAAAAATCCCAGTTAAGAACTAGAGAATCTGGTTGTCATGTCTGTTAAACAAGTTGATTAAGTTATGGCATCTATCATTTTAGAAATTATGTAACTGGTTAGTATGCTGTAATTAACATAAGTAACATCTCATGACCTTGAACTGCTAAACGTGAGTTCTGAAAAGTTTTTGCTTTATTAAAATGCACATTAGAAATAGAATCATTCCCCTGTCTTATGCTAAAACACAGGACTTAACTAGGTGGCCTAAGTTTTGATCTGAAGAAACTTAGTGGAGAAACGTTGCCACGTTTGAATAGAAAGAAATGATATTCACATTGTATGGTTTTGAAATACATTCTAGAATGTAAGGGAATTTGAACTTAATTTGTATAATTTACATTGATATTTTAAATTTGTGAAAAATTTTATAGGATAATGTATTAAATTTGCCTGAAATGGGAACAAGATAAAGTGCAAGAAAGTGATATTACTGAACTATCTAGTAGGAAAGATTTGGAGTGTAGTGATATATACAAATGAAATAACATAGTATAATTGTAACTGTGTTCATCATATTTAAGAACAGAATGCTTTTAATATACTAAAAACCTGTAATATAAAATTACTTTGTTAATGTAAAAATAAAAGCAAATATAGTTCTTTTAGAATATAAAATTTGAGCATTTTTCTGCTGAGATGTTCCCAAATTAAGTACATTTAATAAATTAAATAATTAATGATTATTCATTTCCTGATTGCTAATAAACACTTAGGATATAGTGGCGATGGCTTTTACATTTTTATAATAGTTCACTTCATACCATTCTTATAGCTGTCCACTCTTAGAAAGTTTGTTGCCTAGTACTGAGGATGTGACCTTGATTTCTTCCAGTTGCAGCATAAGTCTATAAAAATACTTTCAAATAATGAAGGCTAGGTGTGGTGGTTCACATCTAGAATCCCAACTACACAGGAGGTGTAGATGAAAAATAACTAAAGCATAAGAGTGCTAGGGGCATGTCTCAAGTGAGCTTGTCTACTAAGCTCAAGGCCCAGCATTCAAACCCCAGATAAAACAATATCTGCTACATACAGGATGAAGTGTTATTTGGAAAAACAAATAGTATATTTTATATTTTACATTTTAATTGTTAAATGATGTCTTCCACATCAAAGTCATAACATTTTGTCCTTTCACCCTTTTTATAAGCTATTATAATTTAAGTTTATGCTCATTTAGGCTATTTATTAAAAGTTAACACTGATAACTACATAAAAAGCTACATTTATTGATTATTAGAACCTTATTTGCTTTCACAGTGCCTTAAAACACCATGGCCAATCCAACAAGATTATAATTTCTAACACTACATTTTAATTTTAAATCAAAATTCAATCAGGAAGTATCTTATTGTTTAGGGTAGTGGTTTACAGCATAGGAAATAAATCAATGTATAATTGACTTTAGTAATATTTAGGACTCAAGTGATATTAAGGAAAGTTTGATAAGGAAAAAAAGTAAGAATTTTGATCATGACTAAGCAATAATTGAAGTTTTATATATTGAAGATAAGGAAAAGAGAGACAGTAAGTTTTTATTCTTGGTTTTTGTTCCTGGTAGTACTGGTGTTTAAGCTCAGGGCCTTGTTCTTGTAAGGCAGGTACTCTACCACTTGAGCCATACCCATAGTCCTAAATTTTTATTCTTTAGAGCACATGATTAGTTTACTTTCTTCTAAAAATGAATATGAGCTGCCCTTTGAGAATAATTATGGTGAAATCTACTTACAAACAACCCCTATTCTGATATAAATTCCCTAATACCAAAATTTATTTACGGAAATTTCTTCAGATTTTGAAATGGGTATTTTTAGTATGCAGGTCATTGATTTAGAACTTCCTTCTATTTTTAGAATCTAGCTTTTAACTCTTTATCCATTACCACCTCTACCCTGGAGAGCCCAATAACCCCTAGGCTTTCTTCCACGTCTGTGATTGCCATCTAGTCTTCCATTAGCTATTAAAGTAAACTCAGAATATCTACTTTGGAATGCATGTCTAGAGCCAGTTTTTTACAAAGAATTATCCATAAAACACAAAAACCATAAATTTCTACTGCAATTACAGAACCCACATTCACAAAGGCATATTCAAATGTACTCTTTGCATCCTAAATGTCATGTAACATACATGAACTAAACTGTCAAGTTGTTAAATGCAGGTAATTGTGATCAAACTCCTCTATTTGATGACTGAGTTGTAAGGAGGTTCTCAGAAAATTAATTTTGAAAGAGAAAATAAGCTGTATTAAGTAGTATGGAATGAAACTGGAATAAGCTTAAAGGGAAAAAAAGGCATTTTTTGTAATTACATAGAAGAGAGATTACTATGTAAGCAAATGATTTTTATTTTGGTAGTGGTGACAGTAGATAAACACTCAAACCATGTTACAATTATCTTTGTACAGTATTTCCAAAATACCTTGTTTTTTAGTAGGTGCTTAGTAAAATTAGTAGGTCAAATGAATTAATGTTCCTTTAGAAGGACTGCAGTCTGCTGATCTCTTGTTTATACCAGATTGTTTGCAGAAGGTTAGGACTGTTGTCTTCTACTGCCTGCAGTGATTCCTGGTGGTGGTAAACTGACAGCAAGTGCACTAAAGAAAGATTCTGAGTGCCCTCCAAACTATAACAAGTTTGAAACACCATTACCTCAGTTATCTCCTCTACAGATCAGGAATACTAATTTTACCTTCATCTGGTCATTTTGAAGATTAAATAGCATGCCTTTAGCAAATGTCAAACAATTAATAAAACTTATCTGCTATGTCCAACAATATTATCCTTGTAGTTAATGTGAATATTTGCCTTCTACAAACAGACTAAGTAGTTTTCAGTTCTAAGAAAATAATTTTGATTTTCCCCAAACTGTATTGCTAACATGTATAGGAAGAACAGAAGAATGATGATGAAAAGGTCTGTACTATATGCTGGTGTTGCAGTGACAATCACAGTGGGAGGAAATCTACACGAAAATATTCATTCAGGTGATTTGTTATTTAGATAACTTCTTTACCAAGCCTCACATGTATAGTTCAAGAGTTTCTCCTTCATGAGTTCACAGGGATACCCATAAAAAGTATTCATTCTGTGACATGGTATAAAAGCAAATTGCTGACTATAATACATATTAAAGAGAAAAATAAATTCATTAAAAATTAGGACTGTCTAAAAATTAAATATTTACTACTATATAGGTTTTCCTTTAGAAAAGATAAGACAGTAAAGGTCAAAAAATTCATTGACTTTTTTGTGTCTAGATTTACTATCAGCAAAAAGAAAAAAATTGGTGTTAACATTAGGAATTTAGAAAGTAAACCCTTATCTAATCACAGCCTATCAGATACTTTAAAAAAATTAATATGAAAGTTTGTGTTGGACTGGATTAAGTGAAAGGGAAGTTTTCTAAAATAAGTAAAATATTTACTGACCTGCATTGTTTCTTAAGTGCATTTTAGTTTCAAAAATAAAACAATATAAAAGAGCAGCTGGTTTATTCTTTTGATTTATTGTAGGTGTTAAAATTTACTTTCTTGAGATGGCACATTGGCAGGTTTGGTATTTCCTGACACACAGAAAGAAAGGGGGGAAAAAGTGAAAGGGTGTTTTTCCATAGTTGAAAATAGTTTTTCAAAAATGTTTGTGAAGAAAATAATCTAAATAACATACCATTCTTGAAAAAGAAATGAGGCAGCTTCAAATTAAAAGTATAAATTTAAGTAGTTTTCATAAAATATTAAAAACTAGCTAAAATTACATGCATAGTCATTTAATCAATAATAAGACGAATAGCACTGGAACTTAAATATAGGATTTATCAATAATAAATAAACATTTTTTAGTGCAAATAGTGCAGAAAAATTTGAAAGCAAAGATCATAGCAGTCATTCTAATCTATACAAAAATCAGTCTCAGTTCTGTATACAATCTATAGAGTACATCTGTGAATTCAGCCATTGTAATGAAATGCCAATTTACAAATCATAAATATAAAAAACAATGTGCTTAGTTTTGTGTCCCATTTCTTTCTTGGCAATTCACATTTTCAGAAAAATCTGGAAAGAAAAGAAAATTTTGAAAAGCTAAGATTTAAGATGATAAATCTTCATCACTTTACATTTTCTTGCAATTAAAATTTACTACAAGCCAGGTACTGGTGGCTCAAGCCTATAATCCTAGCTACTCAGGAGGCAGACGCAGAGGCAGAGATCAGGAGGATCGCGGTTTGAAGCCAGCCTGGGCAAGTAGTTCACGAGACTCTATCTCGATAAAATCCATTACAAAATGGGCTGGTGGAGTGGCTCAAGGTGAAGGCCCTGAATTCAAGTCCCAGTACCGCAAAAAAAAAAAAAAATTACTGTAAGATAACTTGATATTGAGGGAATGAGGGAATAGGGGTAAAGAATGGCTTTCAGTATGTTCAGATAAATAAGCAGTTACTTATTTCTACTTCATTCTCAAGCTTAGTATTAAATTTGGAAAATAAAACAATTCAGAGTTGGAGTAATGCTAATTTGAGCTGGAGATGAGAAACACCTATCAATTCCTTCCTTGAGCCCACTCCCTTTGTCAGGGAACCGCTCATGATGCTTCTTCTTAAAGTCCACTCCTTCAGACTATCTGACACCAATCTCCAGGCCAAGCTGATTAGGCCAGGATGGATACCTCATCTGTCTCTTTCCCAGGGGTTTTTATTGGAACACCAGAGACTTGTTAAATGTCTAATGGCTGCTTGAATTGTCAGATGAAGTAATCAGGTTGTAACCAGTAATAGTTGAAGGGCGACTGAGAGATAGAAAAAAGGGCTGTGGATACAGCTCTGGTAGAATGCATGTCTAACATGTGCAAGGCCTTAGGTTTGAACCTAGCACTGGGGAAAAACAAAATAGATACAGAAATAAGAAAAAAGCCTCAAAAAGTGAGAGAAAAAGCTGTTCTTGGCTACTGAGCAGCTTCTAATGTTTCTACTGTCAGGTAACTAGCTGTCCCTTTTTTCATTTTGGCTTGGTGATGGATTTTTCATTATCCAATGACAAGTTTTTGCTTAAGTATGGCAGGGGGTGGTTGAGATTTGTTCTAATCAAATCATTACTAAAACAAAATAGGTAGAGAGGAAAAGGAAAAGGGTTTGAGGAAAGAGTGAAAGCATGAAGGAAGACTAAGACATGTAAGACAACCTAAGGGGAAATGGGAAATTAGTGGATGATCCATTGATTCCTACCACCACCACTACCAAAACAAACAAAAATAATAATAATAAAAAGTAGAAGGAATAGGCCAGGCACCAGTGGCTCATGCCTGCAATCTCAGCTACTCAGGAGGCAGAGATCAGGAGAATCGTAGTTTAAAGCCAGCCCAGGCAAACAGTTTGTAAGACCCTTTCTCGAAAATACCCATCACAAAAAGGGCTAGTGGAGTGGCTCAAGCTGAAGGTCCTGAGTTCAAGCCCCAGTACCACACACACACAAAAAAAAGTAGAAGGACTAAAATGATGATATGAAATATATGCCTATTTAGATTACAGAAATCTTAGAACCATAGAGAAATATGCAGTTACCACTGTTACTACTAGGGGCTTATTACAGGATTTGAAGCTGAGAACTTTTATGACATAAGTGGTACTTTAGGAAGATGATTCCATCTGTACTTTCTAGAAGACTCTTAAAGTCAGGAGAGGCCAGAAAACTACAGGAGTAATTTTGATGTGCGAAGGAAAAGAGACAAACTGAGGTTCATTTTAAAGGAAGAAATGACAAGACTGTTGAGTCAACCAACATACTCTATATACCAGCTGAAAGAAAAGAAATTAACTATAACATGAACCTCTATATAAGAAGCTCTCAGATGATGAAAAACCATTTCATCTAAGCCAATATAATACTGAGAAGATATCCAAAAGTTTTCTACTGGTTACAATGCTAATTGATACACTATTACGTTTAATAGTCTATATGTTTAAAAGATTCTGTATGTCACATAGCATGGCCACTACAATGATAGAATTATGCTTAAAGCTGTCTGAGCAGGCACTGTTACAAACAGTTTGGCTGAAGAACATGTAATAGACTTGAGGCTCAAATCTAAAAGCAGTTTACCTATAGTGGAGCATGAAATTGGCTGTGCATTGCTATCACCTGTTGAAGTTTCTCTTCCTTGGCTCTTCTACAGTGGCAAATCTAGAAGATAAATTATTTAACATACCAGTCACTTTCCCAAAAATATACTTACTACTTCCTATGTTATGGCAAAATGCTAAGTAAGAATGTTTTATTAGTCTGTTGACATTCTTACAAGTTTTGAATGTTGAAGATTCCTAATTCCTCTGAATTTAATAGTTAAGAAAAGCATTCAATTTTGACTGGAAGATAGCCTTTGTCAGTAAATTTCCAGAATGTAAAACAAACTTTGATCCTTTATTCTCTGATTATTTAATCTCAAATACTTGTTTTAAAAATATGAAAATAAATCCTGTTCTTATTAACCACGGAAGATTAACAAATAAAAATTTCAAGGCATTGTTACATAAAGTAGAATGATGGACCAGAAACCAATGCCTGTTACTGTAACAATAGACAAGTCACTAACATCTGTGGACTTCAGTTTTCTCTCATGAAAAATAGAGATGATAAAATCTGCCCTGCTTGCCTTAGCAAGATAAAAATTGATTTTTCTAAAGCTTATTTATATTAAAGATTATTTTTTAAATGTGGTCTCAGACAGATTTATTTAGAACTCTATTAAAGAGCAAGAAAAGATTAAGCAGACTTTTTTAGTTTTTCTCTTGATGTGATAGAAGTGACCAGAACAGAAGCTGCTCCAGAATGTTCTGATACTTTTTAATATTCAGGAATATATTTCAACTATGACGAGACCTAAACTGATTTACTAGCGCCTACAGAATGATACACAGATACTACATTTCTGAAACAGAACTATTACTTGACTTACCTGCTTGTGCCACTGAGAACAAGCAGGTTTACAGTGATTGTAGGGTGTTGCTATCCTTCTCTTCAGAGTCCTCTCACAGCACTCAAAATTCCAGCTCAGTAATGTGCTAAGTCTTTTACTCATGAGTACACTTAAATAATTTGATACTATGTTGTCACTCATCATCAACTGAAAAATATTACATACTGTTCTCTTTTCCATGAAGCTACTGAGAAAATCATCTATTTCAGTTTTTCCTTCCAAGAAATCTTCAGCAATATTATCAGATTCCTCCTCAGCTTCATGTGCAGCTACTTTCAATCTTGCCTGTAGGGCACTTGCACTACAGCTCTGGAAAAAAAAAAAAAAATCAGGCATTACATTAGTTGATAATACTCAGAAAAACTTCTTAGAGGGAAAAAAATGAGATAGAGTACCTCATTTTTGAATTAATGAAATTATATGAATTAATGAATAAATTCATTATATTCCTTACATACCCTCTTTTTGAGAAAGTCTACCTCATAATGCCCCACACTGTCGTTAATTTTTGGATATAGGGATAGATCCCAAACACAAGAGAAACCAATCCACTGGCTATAAACTATTAAATGAGAAACTAGCAAATTATGTGCTGCCTCAGGGAATTTGGAATTATAATTGATTATGGGAGGCGTGCACTTAGATTACCTCTAATTCCCAGTATTCCTATTCTTGGCTAATCCCCTCCCTATGAGTGTGGGCTGGACCTAGTGACTCACTTTTAATAAGCATAATATGACAAAAGTGATAGGATTCAATTTGACAGAAGAGATAGAAGATTTGTACACTGAGAACTACAAAACACTTGTCCAAAAAACTGAAGACATAAGTAAGTATAATGGATCCCGTGTTCATGGGTTAGAAGATTTAGTATTGTTAATACTAACCTAAGTGACCTATAGATTGAATGCCATCTCTTTTGAAATCTCAATGGCATCTTTTGTAGAAGTAGAAAAGTCCACCCCAAAATTCATAGGGAATATTATGGGACCCTAAATAGCCAAAGCAATTTTTAAAAAGAACAGTATTGGAGGATTTGTATTTCCTAACTTTAAAACTTACTACCAAAGCTACCTTAATCAAAATAGTATGGTACTAGCATGGAACAGAAGAGAAAGCCAAGAAATAAATTCTCACATATATAGTCAAATGATTTCTGACAAGGTTGCCAAGTTACTGAATAGGAACAGGATGGTCTTTTCAACAAACAATGCTACAACTGCTAAATGTCCATGTGCAAAAGAACAAAGTTGGACCTTACTTCACAGACAAAAATTTACTCAAAATGGAACAAAGACCTAAATGTAGGAACTAAAACTATTTTTAATAGTTACCCTAAAGCATGTGGAAGTGGTATCTCATTGGGATACATCAGAGTTATGTATAGTAATGCACCATTTTCTTATCATCCTTATTAAAACTGGTTATTTTTATAAGTTTGGATCACGTGAATGGTTTATTCTGCTTTAAAAGATTATTGTAAATGTTAGCATATTTTCAAATGTTTCCACTTAATTATTCGTCAAATATTTACTGGGTACCTATTATGTGCCAAGCACTGGCATAGATGTTGGGTAATATAAGGGGTATTAAACAGGACAGATCCCTGCACTCATGTAAACAACAATGATGTGATTTGCATATGTGAGAGCAAAGAGGATTCATCAACAGACTTCTGAGTACATTTTGAAAGGAGCCCAGAAATCAAGGTGTTTTTAATTTTGTTTTTGAAATTTTTACGTGTTTTAAGAATCATTTCAAGCAAATCTTATATAAAAGTTCAGATGTAAGAATAACTGTTAAAGCAGAAGACTTCTGTGTGTATCAGGGTGGTGGAGGTGTGGTGCTGGAGATCAAACCCAGGGCCTCACGCATGCTAGGCAACAGTTCTACCACTGAGCTATATCTCTACCCCTAAAGCAGTATCTTTAGTGAATACTCCTATTACCCCTCTGGTGAGTTCCCTGCTTTCTCCTTTTCTTTTTATAAACCACTGACATTAAAATTTGTGTCACATCACCTAAAAAATTAGCTAGCATTTGTTGCCCTTAACACAGAGAAACTAAAGCAGATACCTTAAAAGAAACGGAGGCCAATAGGAAAAGGGGACCAGGAACTAGAGAAAAGGTTAGATCAAAAAGAATTAACCTAGAAGGTAACACACACGCACAGGAAATTAATGTGAGTCAACTCCCTGTATAGCTATCCTTATCTCAACCAGCAAAAACCCTTGTTCCTTCCTATTATTGCTTATACTCTCTCTTCAACAAAATTAGAGATAAGGGCAAAATAGTTTATGCTGGGTATTGAGGGGGTGGGGGGGACAGGGAGGGGGCGAGTGGGTGGTAAGGGAGGGGGTGGGGGCAGGGTGGAGAAGGGTGGGGGGGACAGGGAGGGGGAGGGGTGGGTGGTAAGGGAGGGGGTGGGGGCAGGGTGGAGAAATGACCCAAGCCTTGTATGCACATATGAATAATAAAACAATAAAAAAAATTTGTGTCACATACGCTATAAGTGTTTTTTTTAACTTCATTCTGACTATATTATAATATATACATATTTTTAATTTGCATAGAGTCAATTTTTTTCATTATGTCTCTGCATTGTTATTATGCTTAGAAAGGTTTTATCCCACTGTAATCTCAAAAAGAAAAAAATGCTAGGAGCTAGCTGACATTTTATGGTTTCCACTGAAATAAATTATATCTTGTATGATGTAACTTAAATTGTTAGATGTAAAGGCTCTAACCTCTTCCTGAATGGACACTAAATGGATAACCATTTATGTAATTTGTTGGTTCCTCAATTTTTTCCAACCAATTACTCACATATGAGTCTATTTCTCAGTTGCCTACTTTGTTCCACAGAACTATTTTTCTCTCCCTACAAAATACTATACCATTTAAAATAATGAGGTTTTATAGTGTATTTTAATACCAGGAACGGGAAGTCTTCTGCATTATTCTTTTGTGTTCAAGCTCTTAACTAATTTATTCCATTTAGTCTTTCAGATGAACTTTCACAATAAATCTGTTAAGGTTTTAAAAAATACTTTGGGATTTTGATTGGAGCCATATTAAATTACAAGTTATTTTAGCAAGAATAAATTACCTTTCCATCCATGAATACTCTATGTTGCCTTAAATGGTCTTTAGAGGAAAGTCAAGTCTTCTTTCTTGCCATTTAGTAAAGTTTCCTAACTTATGTCATCTGATTCACTTGTAAATATTTTATAGTTTGTTGCTCTTGTAAATGAGGTTTTTTTTTCTTATTTCATTTTGCAGCAGTAATTACTGTAGCATGAGGAAGTCCTGTCATTTCTCTAGAATTTTCAGTTGTTTATATTTTGATATACAACTACTTTACCTCTTTCACACTAATACTTTTTTTTTTTTTCTTGGCTTATTGCAGTGTCCATAACTTCCCAAGTGACATTATATAGCAATGGTAATGGGCCATTACTCTTTTCCTAACAGTGAGACCCTGGGGTGTTTAGTCAGTGTGATGTTCACTGTTGGTTTCTAATATGTTATTTCTAGTTTTAGTTTACTAAGAATTTGTATAAGGAATAATGTTGACTGTTGTGAAAAGCTTCTTCAGCATCTACGAGGCTCCAATTAATTCTTACAGATTTTCCCAAGAAGGAAGGTTCAGATTTGAATCCTAACTCCAGTCTGTTCTATTTCTAACTCAAGGAAGTTATTTAACCCTTCTATGCCTCAGTTTCCTCATATGAAAAATGGAAAATAGAAAAAAAATAACACTACCTTTCTCATAGAATTTGGGGCTAATAATGGACCAGTAAATGTATTAACTTTATGTAGTACAAGACACATATTAATTGCTCAATTAACTGCTCAATGTTAACTATTTTTTCATTCTAAAGGATGATCATATTATCTGAAATTCATTATGAATTTATATTCTCCTTAGTATTTTTGTTTTATGGTATTGTTTTATTGCTATTTTATATTATTGTCTTTACCTTCCAATATTCAATTTTAAAAGAAATAGAATATTATTACTATGATGTTGCTTATTGGTATAAGCTAGAAAAATTATATCTTCCATTCTCATTTAAAAAAAATTTTTTTTTGTGGAACTGAGGATTGAACTCAGCCCTTCACACATGCTGGCAAATGCTCTACTCCTGAACTGCATCCCCAACCACCCTCATTCTCTTTTATTTTTAAAGATTTATTTTTTCAGAAATGTAGGTTGAATTTTATAAAATACTTTTCATACATTACACTTCTCAATTTGGTACCTTTTCATGTATAAAACCTTACAAGTGAGTATAAAGTGTTTTGTTGTTAGGTTTTATTAAAAAGGCTTGTTACACTACTTTTCTAATGTACCCAGAAAAGTTACTGGGGGGTGAGGGGAATGTTCTTTATATTTTTCTGTGGTTTAGAGCAAGATATGAGCTTGCATAAACATAAATGATTTATAGTATTTATAACTGAGCTGTTCATCTACATTTAAAGGAATCAGCCTTATAAAGTCAGAAACCTAACAAATGGTTTCTGATAAAAATGAAAGTAGGAACATGGCCCATTAGAATTAAAACCTCTGCCAGTTGCTGGTGGCTCACACCTGTAATCCTAGCTACTCAGGACACAGAGATCAGGAGGATCACAATTTGATACCAGCCCAGGCAAATAGTTTGTGAGACCTTATCTCCAAAAAAAAAAAAAAAAATCACAAAAAAAGGGCTGCCAGAGTGGCTCAAGTGGTAAAGTGTGAGGCCCTGAGATATAAACCTCAGTGCCACCAAAAAAAAAAAAGTTCTTTATATAGGAAAGTGAAAGAACTAGACAATATTAACAATCTTACCTCACTTAATTCATGCTGCCTTTGCATCTTCTTTTCAAAAGTAGATTTCATTTGTGTAAGTAATTCATACTAAGAAAAAACAAAAATGCTTTTAAATTCTGTTTTTAAATTGTATAAATTTCTTCAATATGATCACTAACTCACCTTATCTAAAACAGTTTGCCTTTTGGCTTCCAAGCTGGGCTCCAAAAGGAGATTTTTTCCTGTAAGATAAATCTCTGGTTTATTTCCAGGTGAGGATCACGTTTTTCTCAGGAAATATGAATTGAGGTAACTAAGGGAAGACATACTTGCTAATTCCTCAATACTTTTTACTAAGTCATCCTTGTCAGTTATAATTTGTTTTAGTTGAGGCAAAGTCAGAAACTGTTCTAGTAATACCTCCTCTTGTTCATTCATATCTGAGAGTTGTGACACGCTAGAATACAAAAGAAAAATGTATGTTAACAAATACCAGTCATCTAGTTTTTCTCCATGACAATAAATATTCACAATTTTAAAATTTTATTTTGGTTGACAGGGCTCCAAATAATTTATATACCTCTATCTATATTTACACAAACACACAAACACACACACAAAGGCTAACTGTAATTTCAAGAGCAAATAAAACATCAACCATAGTGGAACATAAAGCGTCTGTCATAAATTCCTAACACAATCTATAAAAGTAAATTCTGCTTCAATGAATTTACCCATACATCTAGTTTCTTTAAGCATACAGCTGTGGGGAAGTGTTTACAATTATATCAACCTGAAATTAACAATAAGGTTTACTTAGCTGAGGTAAAGAAAAAGGATGAAACTAGGGAGAACTAGAGTTCTCCCTTATTCAGCAGAGGCACCTTAAAATAGTAAAGTAGTAATATAGTTAAATATTTTTTCTTGCTTTAAGTTCTACTTAACTGCTTTAAAATATCATTTATTTCTTCACTTTCCTTGATAGGAACTAGCCTTACAGATATGTAAAATTTAGGCTATTTATTGCCTCCAGACATAATACTGAACATACCAGTAATACAGTAAATCTAGAGGAGTAAAAAGTCCACAAATAGGCTAGCATTAGAAGAAACTTTTCCTCTTCCTTCATATGTAGGAAAGAAATGGAAAGAGACCAGAATAGCTACTGTTGTATTTTGACTTGTGAAAAACTTTTATGGGAAGTTGGTTTACCAAGTCAGCTTGATGCCAATATTTTTTTGGCAGTACTGAGGTTTGAACTCAAGGCCTCATGCCTGCTAGGCAGACACTCTATTATTGAGCCATTCTGCCAGGTACCTAGTCAGCTTGAGACCTGATCATTGCCTGATTGCAAGGATATGTTGGCCAAAATATGGGCAATAAAATTCCCCTAGACTCTACAAGGTACACAGTCTCTACTATCATATTGTGTCAAATTACTGTAGGGCTACAAAGACTAGGGTGCATGCATAGCCATAACAGCCTCCCACTTTAACCTCTGTGCCTATTTAGCTAATAGATGCATGGCTATCACAGTATAAGAGACATATGTGTCTGTCTATATATGTATGTGAACATATTCATAAAATACTAAAAGAAAAGAAATAAAAGAAGACTAAGCCCAAACTAAAAATGGATGTTATAGGGTAAAAGAGAGAAAGAACTAAGTGGAGGGGATATGGATGGAAGCTGAATCTTTCTAAATACATGTTTTGGTTTTGACCTGGAGCCATGTAAAAACATTATATAATTTAAAAAGACAAAAGGGAGGAAAAAGCCCTAAAAAATGAATTACTTTGGAAATAATTGAGCCAGTTTTTTTCTAAGCTACATGATCATCCAGAGGTATTATCTGAAGAAATATAAAAAAAATAGTATTTGGTTATATTCTGGTGTGATATATCCTAAAGACAAAATAACTACAAAGACAATAAACGAAACAAAAACTTAACCTGCAGTCAATAATCTTAGTAATAACATTAGTATTACTATTTTAAAAAGAACAAGTTTCCTTCTGAGGTGTGGATGACCCTAGGTCTGAGAAAAGAAATGTCCATAATGAACCCTAGCATCTTCTTCACTAGAAATAACACAGAAGACACCTAAGTTTCTCACCCATTAGAACAACTTCTGAAGCTTATTAGCATGTCAAGTCATTACTCTAAAAATGATAAATAAAGGAAAAAATTTTATCCTGTTTTTCATGTATGAAGTATATTTCAGTGTAACTAATTAAGGAAAGCTCTTCATAGAAGAATTCTGACTAATAAATTCTGGCAATAGGAAAGACAAAATCAGGAAATAACATCTGTAACTCTTAATAAAATAATGGATGGTCAACAATTTTTAGGTGCTTCAAACTCATCTACTCTTAAGTCACTAAAATAGGGCAACTAGACATCATTGCTGCTTTATGTGATATAATATGAAGTATGCATTAATTATGATGCAAACACTGTACAAATACACCTAAATCTAATCAAGGACCCCAGTTCTAGTGACCAGTAGCAGGAAATATGGGAAATAGAAAAGTAAATTCAATGTTACCACAAGGATACCATCAGACAAAAATAGGCTATGGGAGAGAAATGATCAGTTTCTTTAACAACTATAAAAGAAATACATAATATATGTGTGTGCATGTATGTGTACTTATGCCTACGTGTGTATATAAAGGTGGAGAAAAATGAGAAATGGTTCATGATTAAAAGAAACTTAAGAAAGCCAGTATTCACATGCAACCTTGTTCTGAATCCTAATTCAAATATGCTACCAACAACAACAACAAAAAATTATTAAGGTACTGGAGAAATAAAACAGTATTATCAATTTTGTTAGGTCTGATGCTGATACTGACTGGAGTTAGAGAGAGAGAGACTTATTTGGTGGAGAAATTTACAAAAGAATTTATGGTGAAAATTATGTAATATCTGGAATTTGCTTTGACATAAACTTGCCTGACCTGTACCCACAGCTGCCCCAGAGAGCTAGAGAGAAGGGTGTATGAGTTAAGTTGACCAAGGAGGTTCAGAAATACTAATGCTGAATGACGGATACATGGAGGCTCATTATACTGTTTTCTTCACTTTTTTTGTAGTTCTGATATTTTCACAATAAGTTTTTTTTTTTAAGAAAGGAATAACTTTTAAAAAGAAAAAGGAAAATCTCATAGGATTATTGTGAGCATTATAAAGACTATTAAACTCTTAAGATGTACATAATATATTGTAAAAATCCACTAAAATATTATTGCGAGTAGAAAACAGTCAGTCCCTATTTCCTAAAATTACCGTAAAACATTGGGTCAAATAAAGTTAAACTTTTTTAAACTATAGGATTTCTAATGGACATTTGATTGTACAACCCTGGTGGATTTTAAATTGTCTTAAAATAGCCTTATAATTATCATAAACCTTCAATGGAGGTATAAAGGATGCTATGTACTCTCATGCTTTAAAAAAAAAAAAAAATCAGAGATTTTCCAAGAAAAATGGTACCTTAAACTTGAATGTCACCAACTTATCTGCCATAAATTTGAATAAAATTTTGGCTCTATAAAAACTGCTAAAACTTCATGATAACTTTAATCTATTTCTCTATGTACAAAATTTGTCTAGTAAAGGAACAATGAAAGACCTAAAATAAGTCAGGATATTTTGATATCATCAGGAATGATATATTCAGAAATAATTTTCAAAGAATACAAACCACATGATTGAAAGGATCTTGTTACCGTGTGTGTGTGTGTGTGTGTGTGTGTGTGTGTGTGTGTGTGATACTAGGGGACTGAATTCAGGACTTCACACTTGCTATACAGGTGCACTGCCACTTGAGCCACTATGCACACCCATTTTGCTTCAGTTATTTTTGAAATAGGGTCTTCACTTTATGTCAGGGCCTTTCTGGACTGTGAACCTCCTACTTGTGCTTCCCCATGTAGCTGGGGATGTGTGACTCATTATTTACGGCTGAGTTAGGATCTTGCAAACTTTTTGCGTAGTCTGGCCTCAAACTGCAATCCTCTAAATCTCTACCTCCCAAGTAGCTAGGATTACAGACTTGAAGCACCACATCTGGCCAGATCTCATTATCTTGCTAGCTATTAAATCATTCCTAGCAGCTAGAAAAATGCCCGGATAAAGACAAGTCACTTAATAATGTACACCTAAAACTGATTTATAAAACTTTCCCACAAAGACAACCACGATATAGGGACAATGGAGATTTTTAAAAAATCTTTTTATTTAATATGGCTATGAAATGATCATCTGGTTTATATTTTAAAATATAATGTGATCAAAAATTTTACTGTCCACGTTTTTTTACCTTAGTTCTGAGAGTTCTGGAAAGGCGTCAGGGACATCTGGCATCTTGTAACCAAAACCATTTTGGCTTATCTAAAGAAGAGTTTTAAAGGGTATTAAATTTCAGCCATCCTTTTTATTGTTCCTATTTACTTATAGAATTTTTAATGTACTAAATTCCATAACTGTTTTCATTATGACATCTTCATCTTTGCACTTTACACTGTCCTTATGCTCCTCTCTTCAATTTTTTTTCAGTGTAATCTTTACATACAAGGTTCCTTTGTTTTCTCTTCCTTTATTAGTGTGTATTAATTGTACAAAGGAATTTCATTGTGATATTTCCATATATTCATGTAATATACTTTGATCAAATTCAACACCTCTAATACTTTGTCTTATTTCCTCTCCCCTTTTTTTGAACAATTTTCAATGGGTTTATTATTCCACTTTCACACATGCATTTGAAATCATATTCATCTCCCTACCTTCACTTTCTTTTCTTTTTCTGAGGGCTTTATAAGAGCCAGTGTCAGCTCTCTTTCATGGGCAAGTATATGGTTGCAAACTAAATCTCTTAAGCGTATCTATGACAGGTATGAAGAGTGATTTGTGGATTTTACTGATTTAGATGAATATATTTCTCTTGAGTGAAAAAAACAATAAGTACAGAAAAACTTCATAAATTATCAGTAGTCTGAATAATTATGTATCTAAGATAGATGAGACAGTAGGGTAGACATCCACTGTTTGAATCTACATGATTTTTTTAAACATGAAGACCCTTGAAAAATTCTCTTGAAATTTTGTTAATACTAATTGTTGTTTATAATCTTCATGAACACAATAAATAATGGAAGGTTTTGGAAAAACAGTCCATTTGGGTATATATGCTAAATAATTACAAACTCTGAAATTAGCGATGCTGGATAATAAAGTTTTACAATATTTTAGCAATATTAGAGGTGATATTCACTAAGGGTCAAAACTGACAGTTTTTAAATCCTTGTAAATATTCTATGCACAAAGTGTTAGTCTCCCCTCTCTAACATATGTAATAGCAAGTCATGAGCTTCACTCCTGAACTTTCTTCAGTTAACTTTCTCAAGGACATACAATTTTTAATTGTAGGATATCTGAAGCCTTTAGCAGGCTATAGTAGACCTTCCTAACCTGACACCTGCTTCTTCTGTATGATCACTTCTTGTGCCTTTGCCTACACCCCACTGACAACCAGAGAGGCCTATTACAGCTTGTTCACTAAATACACCTGGCATGTATCCCAAGGCTTTTGTCAATATCATGGCCTCTCACAGGATGCCTTATATATCTTTTTGTTATCCTGGCAAGCACATAACCATTTCAAAATCTGGCCTCAAACGCAAATTCATTCATTCATGTATCTGCCTCACTTTTACTGAGCATCTATTATATATGCCAGGCCCAGTCTGAGGCACCAGGGACAGTTTACTAGTGCAGTAGCTGATACATAGTAAATGTTTGCTGACTAAATGTGTATCATGGGTACTTAATATAGATTACTGAAGATACCAACCAGTGCTGAAGTTTCTGTTGTGGGGACTGGTAATGGCAGACTTGAAAGGACACCAAATGAAGGAGCAGCAGGCTTGGCAGTGGTGTAACTTGTTGTTGAAGAAGAAACAGTGTCGGCAACAGACAAAGAAGTGACATTCCTGTTAGCTTCTTGTGGAGGATATGGAGGAAGAAATGGGAAACCCTGAGAAGTATAAGGAGGCATCCCACCCGGGTTACTGTACAGGCTAAAGAAAAAAAGAGAAGAATTATTAGATCAGATGATAGGGGTAAAATATGTACACTTACTCCTAAATTGTTCTAAATAAAAACAGTCACACACTTCCACACATGTAATGACTAAACTAAATGTTATGTAAATTAAATATTATGTAAATTGATAAGATAGAAAGTTACAGAAAGAGAACTGTGGTTTCTGTATGAAAAAGATGAATGCTCTAGAAAATATACAGTTCAACCAGTCAGAGTGAAAGTGAGTAACCAGGGCAATTTTGAGTTTCTAGTATCCCACAGGCCTCAATCAGTTTCTTCATAGATAAAAGGGAGAATATTTAATTCAGAAAATTTATTCACATGGATGCTACTAAGTAGATTTCATTGGGCTTGGCAAAATCTAACTGAAACTCAAGACTATCTTTCTAGAAAGCTTTAAAGGAAAATTAAATGTGCAAATGAGCTACTAAAAATAATTAAATATTAAAAAACTGACTTACATAGAAGCATGTATATATATTAGAAAGAGAACAGCACAGCATTATGGACTTGTGATTTAATCAGCTACTCTGAAGATGGAGATCAGGAGGATCATGGTTTTAGGCCAGCATAGGCAAAAAGTTCATGAGACCCCATCTCAATCAGTAAGCTGGGCATGGTGGTATATGTCTGTGATCTCAGTTATACAAGAGGCCTTAGGTAAGAAGATTATGGTCTGAGGCTGGCCTAGGCAAAAATGTAAGACCCTAACCTGAAACATAACTAAAGCAAACAAAAGGACTAGTGGATGACTAAAGTGGTAGAGTGTCTACCTAGCCAGTGCAAGGCCCCCTAGTTCAAACCCTAGTGCCATCAAAACAAAACAGTAAAAAACTAAAGAAATTTGTGGGATATTCCAAACTTCAGGTGAAAATAGACCTTTTGTGATCCAAAATTCAGAAGTTATAAAACAAAATAATGATAAAATTCCACAACAGTTTAAATCTACATGACAGGCCCTTTATGAGACAAATAGGAATTGGGGGGAGGTGGTGAATATAATTGTGTATACCTGTATGGAAATAGCATAATGAAAACCCCCACACTGTACAACTAATACATGCTAATAAAAAATGTGGTGAAAAAGGCAAATACAGTTGGAGATTTAGCTCAGTGCTTTTCTAAGCATGTCCAAGGCCCTGGGTTCAATCCCCAGTAAAACAAACAAACAAACAAGACAAAGATAAAAATATTTTCACATTTCACATGAAAAAGAATAATTTCTCTAATATATAAATATTTCCTACAAGCTGATAAAGAACTAACAATCCAGTAGCAAAGTAGAGAATAGAACAGTATATCCAGGTTGCAGAAAAGAAAATAAAATATCTTTAAAGCACAGGAAAAGATGCTCAACTTCCTGTTAATAAGACAAATACAACTAAAATGATGTTAACATTATTTTTGCCTATAAATGGGCAAATATCCATTTCAATGCTATCCTATATTTGAAAAGGGTATGGAAAATAGGTACTGTACACAGGACTAGAAAGTGGTATAACTACCATGAGGGATAACATTGCAATATTAATCAAAATCACTAATTCTAGAATTTGTCCAACCAATCTAATATTTGGGAAACATATTTACTGCAGCACTGAGGGCAATGAAGAAGGGCAAGTCTTTTAGGAAAGATTAGAAATGAAACAACAAATATCTCCATCAATGGGAATCTTGCTAATGTTTATAGTATATCCATAAAATGAATACTTTGTGGCCATAAGGAATAATGAGGAAGTGCGAAACAATATGATCAACATGAAAGAATATTTATACTATCCCTGATTAAAGTTTTAATAATTTTGAAACAATATACTTTATTTTGAACTCACTACAGATACAATCCATAAGTGCACCAAACTTAATTTATAATAATGTGCACTGTATCACAAAACCTATTTGAAATGGAGCAAGTAAATTTTTGGCTTATATTTTCAAATAAATTAAATGAGTTTATACCCAAACCTACCACTATCGAACACAAGAAATACAGTTTTTAGATAAAGAATACCCAACTTCTTTATCCAAAAATAAAGACTCAGGACTCTGGGACATAGATAGCAGGAAGGCAAAAAGTGCAGGGGAGAACATTGAGGTACCTAATGAACTAGATGAGCTGGCTAAGAGATTTGCAAGCAGTGTCTGTCATAGATAGTATCTGGCTTCTGAACGAGAAGGAAGTTCTTGGAAATTAAGGCCTTAGAGATAAAGCAAAGCAATACCATGGGGAGAAGAAATAAAAAATAGGCATAATAAGCTAAGCTATAATATCAAACTTAAAAGGAGTTTCATAAAAAAAAAGAAAGTTTAGGAATATAGTTCAGTGGTAGAGCACACTTGCCTCCCATGCACTAGGCCCTAGGTTTGATCCCAACACTGTAGGGGTAAAAAAAGAGAAAAAGAAAATATGTAGACATTATTTGCAGATGAATAGTGTTTTTACCCTGCTTCTGGACTGCAGATGTCTAAGGGTCCAAAGACCTCTTCATTTGAAACTATCTCTGTCCCTTTTAGACTAAGATGACAAAATTCCTTTAAAATGTTTATGGTTTTCTTATGAATCCATTTTCTTCATTTATTTCAACAGACAAAAAGCAATACTCCAAAGACTCTGCAAAATCAGCTTCTGGGCTTCAAGTGAGGCTGCTGAGAGAACATGCCCTTAAGATTTTTAGAAAGGCCTTTTTCTTACTGAACAGTTCCTAAGGCACTGCCTTGATTCTAGAAGATCCTTTGTTAACACCACTGAAAGAGGTTTGAACTTTGCTTTTCAGGCTGTCTCTTAATTTGAGTATCTTAGGGAATTTGGAAGTAAGTTTATTTTCCATCTCAGGAAATTGTTTACATTTAGCAACTTCATCTTCCCTCTGCTGTCTCATTTTACTACAGCCAGTAGAAGTCATGTGGCACCTTTAACAGTGACTAGAAATCTCCTTGGCTAGATCATCCAATTCACTAGGTACATTTTCTGTTTTCCACATTACTGAAGCAAGAGTATTGGTTAACTTTTCAGTAATACAAAGTTCCCCTTCCAATGATCATCTCCTTTGACCAAAGGCAATCAGGTTTTGCCCACAGTCTTGGAGGCCCTTCCTTCTTTCATACTTACTTGAGTGTACTTCCAGTTTTCACCTGTTTGTCTCAAAGTCACTCCCACATTTTAGATTTTTGTGTGTATGTCATAGCAGTATTCCATTTTTCAGGTACCAAAATCAATTGCAGTTATTAAGGCCCCATAAATATATTATCTACAAAATTATTGCCTAAAACAATGAAAATACTTATTTTGGTCTAATCTGGAGTTCAGGCAAGGGTTATCAGAGAGAGCTCATGTATGCTGAGTTCATCATCAGTTTGCTCCCAGCTTTTACCTGGGGATATCAGCTGATATACCTAGACACGGTCTCTCTGTGCTGTAGGCTTCCTTACATGATGGTTCACTTCCAAGAATACAAGCACATGCAGCCTGTGTCTCTTGAGAGACAGCTATGAGAAGTTATATTGCCTTCTATGACTTAGCTGCTAAAGTCACCCAGAGTCACTTTTGCCACATTCCATTTGTTGAGGCAATCTCAAAGTCTTGACCAGATCCAAGGGAGGAGAAATAAGCTTTTCTTGGTGATGGGCAAGGGGCAAGGCTCTGAAAGAACATGTGTGACTAGAAATATTGATGTGGCGATTTTTGGAAAATATATTTATCTTCCAAGTCAAAGAAACCTGGAAAATAAATTGTGAAACTTTTAAAAAATTCAATAAACACATTGAACATACTCTCATATTGGATAGTTGGTATAGTTCAAATTCTAGGTTGGTGCATTTCTTCATTCAGACTTTTAAAGGCACAGCTCTGTTATTTATATATAGGCTTTCACTAAGATATCCAATGTCACTTTATTTCTGATCTTTTGAGACTTATTTGTTTAATCTTTGGTAATCTGAAGCTTCATGATGATGCAAGTTGTTACAGGTCTTTTTCAATGTGTTTCATGGGCCCTTTTAATATACAGAGATTTACATTGTCATTTCTAGTAAAGTAATCTTTTTTTGTTTTAATTTCATCCCACTTTTTTCTTCCTTTTTTTCTTCTTTTTCTTGTGGCACTGGGGATGGAACCCAAGGCTTCAACCCAAGCTATACATCCTCAACCCAAGGTATACATTTGATAGAAAGAAGACTCAAAAGCGGACCTAATTATCCAGACTTATTCTGGGGAAAAAATCACTCTCTCATAGTAAGATTAAGTCCTCAATAAAGAAATGTGGATTTTTGGATTTCTTATGGGGCAGCAGCTCCTATGTTTCTTATTTTCCTTTTTGATTGGAACCGTCTATAGTGGTTATCTTAGGCTTGTTCTTCCAGTATGATGGGTATGTCAGGGGCATACCCTGTATAATATGTCATTTTAATTCACCAGTCTTCAGATCATAAAGAATTGTTACTGAAGAATACATCTGAGAAACCACATCTGTACCTGAAGCTGATATAGGCAGTAAAAGCTGGAAATGTGAACACAATCCTGATTCTAAAACACAGTGAATTCTGGAAGTTCTTGGGAAAGGGGATGGATATATTTTTGTATATAGAAAAAGAGCTGAATTCTTGTGGCCAGAACTCTGATACATTGTATCTTCCAGAACAGTTATCAGCAGATTTCCAGGCCCACATGCTCTTCTTGAGCTTTGTCACCCTGTTGAGAGATGGAATCTATTTCTCCTGCCCGTTCAGCCTGGATAGGACTTAAAAATGCAGCAGAAATGACATCAAATGATCCAGGACTGTGTCGGACAGGCAGTCCAGCTTCCACTTGGCTGTTTTGACCTCTCTCTCCTAGAACCCAATACCCCATATTATGAGGAAGCCTAGGCCACATATCAAAGGATCAGTTGATAGCCTCCACTGAGGTCTCAGTATTGGGCCAACAGTAACAGCCAGACATTGAGAATTAAGTGAGCCTCCAGATGATTCAACCCTTAAACTTCTTCAAACCATGCCAACTAACGCAAAAAGTGAAGCAAAAATAAGCAGTCACCACTGGTCATCACCAAATTACAGATTCCAAAGAAAATAAATGTTATTATTTTAAGTACAAGTTCTAAAGTAATTGTTATGCATCCTAAATAACTAGAAAGTATTTTATTCAGAAAACTACTGGAAAACAGTAAGCCAAGAAACTAACAAAGATAAAAAATATAAAATCCAAGAAATAGAGAATCTAATATTAAGTAGTAAAGGAAAATCTGAAGAAGACAACAAAGGGAAATTCCTAGATGACAGCTGTGTGATAATCATAGATAGTAACTCAAATGGAGGGAATAGTGAGCATTCCACAATGTACCCCCACCAGCACAACAATAAAAGAAAAAAGGAAGGAAAGAAAAAAAAAAGAAGAAAAGTGGAGGACTGTCTACAAGGGGAAAAAACAAAACAATAAAACATGGAGCCTAGAGATTGCTTGACTGGTATGATGTAAAAAAAAAATACATATTAAGAGATATTTTTACTTTTTTTTTTTTTTTTTGATAGTACTGGGGTGTGAAATCAGAGCTTCATGTGGCTACTGCTTTAGCCACATCTCAGGAACAGGTACTTTTTTAGAATTGGTAAAAGCCCTGTGAAAATTTAAGATCGTAAAATTTAAGAAGATGTGGAAAATTAAGAAGTTCTAAGAAAACAAAGTCATTGGAACATTAACGTAACTATTAAATCAAGAAAAAAGTAAAATGATAACATACTTGGCTCAGGTAATATTTAGAGTCAAAGTAATAAAAACACAAAATACAGACTTACATAAAAGTCACAATATAATTTTACTGGAAGGATGAAGAGAAGGGAAGTTTTGTGAAAGCTAGATAAAATCTTCATCTATTATATAGATAATACATAAAATGAAAGAAATGGGACAGCACTATGTACATATTATTCAGAAAAATGAAGGTAAATATTAGAAGAAATAGCTAAGCTTGGAAAATACATCTGCCTGTGAATAGTGTAGACATTTGTGACAAGGTGGGGATGTGGAGATCAGGTTTTCTTTTAACATCATTTTTTTAAACTACATTTTGATTTCTTTGCTAAATGAAACAATATGCAGAAGTTTTTATTGTTATAAATATACTTACTATGGAAATGCTGTTGAAGTAGGAGCTAAAACTGGAGGATTCTTCCAGAACTCATCCAATAAACTCTGAATAATTTTTCCAAGATCTGAGTGCATTGTAAACTGAAAGTTAATAGTAATATATGATGATTAAAATTACTCTCAAAAAATGATTATAAAGTCCCATTGGGATATTATGCTAAATCTTAACCCATGTTTGCAGGTGAAGAATAAACAGAAAAGCAAACTGAACATAATAGCAGTCCACAACTTATATCATTTTCTTATATAATCAATACTATAAATATTTGGTAACTAGCAGATCAGGTTAAAAGTCCATTCAGTCATTAATGGAGGTAAAACATTTCACTATTTACTACAATCTGAGGGTTCAAAGTTAAATACTGATAGTACATTTAAGTTACAGTCTTTTACATTAATCAGCTATATCATATCCAAGAACTTCAAGACTTATTCTTAAATAAACACAGTATTACCTACTATACAAAGGGAAACATTTTTTGGACAATTGCTGACTCTAAAATGAAATTTTAAACACATTTCAGGTTTCTAAAATATTTAATAAATGAGTAATAGGCTTGTTATATCACTCTGAAATAAACCATACCATATACATACATTGCTTACTAATGGAGAAGTAACATATACTCCTTGTTTATCCATTAAGTGATGTCGGATTGGTGGATAAACACTGATCACTGGTTTTTCCTGAGGAAATTGTGGAGGAAGCAATCTGGTAAAGATACCACAGATTAAAAACAGTAAGTGTTATGTTATACAGACATAATTCTAAATCAAAGTCAGTTAAGAGCATATTAAATTTTCATACTATCTATGGATTAATTACTTAGTAATAAGTGCTTTATTATAGTTGAGCTGACTCTGAATATACAAAACATTGAACTTTGATAAAAAGACTATATAGTAATTGAGCACAGTAAAACCTAAATGTGAAAGATAGACATCACAAATTATAGACTAGTCTCTACACCATGTCAATTAATTGCTTTCAAACATAATATACCAAGCTGTAAAAAATCTCAGCTAAAAGCTAGATAACTCATTTGTATCATGTGAATTACACAACTCATTTTGACTACTTATGGGATCACTGGTTCTAGCCATAAAGTTTTCTTGCAATTTTTTAACTTATGAAATGCTGCCAACAACAATTCTAGTATCTATTCTATTTCTAAAGAGTAAGTGGATAAAATGGAAAGTACTAGGATTGAAATACTTTCACTGTCATCATGCCTTGGTTCTGACTCCCTTCTAAATGTCCCAGTTAACACCTCTCTTCCAATTGTGAGATAAATTGTTTCAAGTGAAGAACAATTAATTCTCAATATGAAAAAATAGAGGATCCAGATATGAAGCCACACAACTATGAGCAACTTATCTTTGACAAAGGAGCTAAAAATATACGATGGAGAAATAGCAGCCTCTTCAACAAAAACTGCTGGGAAAACTGGTTAGCAGTCTGCAAAAAACTGAAACTAAGTCCATGTATATCACCCTATACCAAGATTAACTCAAAATGGATCAAGGATCTTAATATCAGACCCCAAACTCTTAAGTTGATACAAGAAAGAATAGGAAATACTCTGGAGTTAGTAGGTATAGGTAAGAACTTTCTCAATGAAACCCCAGCAGCACAGCAACTAAGAGATAGCATAGATAAATGGGACCTCATAAAACTAAAAAGCTTCTGTTCATCAAAAGAAATGGTCTCTAAACTGAAGAGAACACCCACAGAGTGGGAGAAAATATTTGCCAATTATACATCAGACAAAGGACTGATAACCAGAATATACAGGGAACTTAAAAAACTAAATTCTCCCAAAACTAATGAACCAATAAAGAAATGGGCATGTGAACTAAACAGAACTTTCTCAAAAGAAGAAATTCAAATGGCCAGAAAACACATGAAAAAATGCTCACCATCTCTAGCAATAAAGGAAATGCAAATTAAAACCACACTAAGATTCCACCTCACCCCTGTTAGAATAGCCATCATCAGCAACACCACCAACAACAGGTGTTGGCGAGGATGCGGGGAAAAAGGAACCCTCTTACACTGTTGGTGGGAATGTAGACTAGTACAACCACTCTGGAAAAAAATTTGGAGGCTACTTAAAAAGCTGGACATCGATCTACCATTTGATCCAGCAATACCACTCTTGGGGATATACCCAAAAGACTGTTACTCCAGAGGCACCTGCACATCCATGTTTATTGTGGCACTATTCACAATAGCCAAGTTATGGAAACAGCCAAGATGCCCCACACTGACGAATGGATTAAGAAAATGTGGTATCTATACACAATGGAATTTATGCAGCCATGAAGAAGAACGAAATGTTATCATTCGCTGGTAAATGGATGGAATTGGAGAACATCATTCTGAGTGAGGTTAGCCTGGCCCAAAAGACCAAAAATCGTATGTTCTCCCTCATATGTGGACATTAGATCAAGGGCAAACACAACAAGGGGATTGGACTATGAGCACATGATAAAAGCGAGAGCACACAAGGGAGGGGTGAGGATAGGTAAGACACCTAAAAAACTAGCTAGCATTTGTTGCCCTTAATGCAGAGAAACTAAAGCAGATACCTTAAAGCAACTGAGGCAATAGGAAAAGGGGACCAGGAACTAGAGAAAAGGTTAGATCAAAAAGAATTAACCTAGAAGGTAACACCCACGCACAGGAAATCAATGTGAGTCAATGCCCTGTATAGCTATCCTTATCTCAACCAGCAAAACCCCTTGTTCCTTCCTATTATTGCTTATACTCTCTCTACAACAAAATTAGAAATAAGGGCAAAATAGTTTCTGCTGGGTATTGAGGGGGGGAGTGGGAGGGGGTGGAGTGGGTGGTAAGGGAGGGGGTGGGAGCAGGGGGGAGAAATGAACCAAGCCTTGTATGCACATATGAATAATAAAAGAAAAATGAGAAAAAAAATTAAAAAAAAAAAAAAAGAAAAAACAAGTGAAGAGTTTAACCTTATTTGAAGTACTTCAAAATTAAGATTAACATATGTACTTTAAACTCTCTTTCTCTGTTGGCTCAGAAAACTATTAGCTAGAAGCACTATTAGGAAAAAAAACCTGGGTCCTTGTCACTCTTCTACCTAGCTCTACCTGGGCATTTGATAAGAAATAAAACTACTTCTTTTATATAGTTAAAAATTTTATTCATGAAACTAGTATTTAATAAGGCCTCCTATATGCAGGCTCTATGATAGGCAATGAAACATGAAGATGAATAAGGCATGGGTCTTGTCTTCAAATTAGATGCCTTGTTACCGAACATTTGCTCTAGCATCCAGCCACCTACTGCAGTCTGGAGTAAAAATTTAATTCTTTCACACTAGAAGCTGGTAGTTGCATTTAAGGCTAAATAGGGTGCATAGGCAATCACTTAGTCAACTTGTACCTTTGTGACTTAAATAAAAAAATCTAGTGATGATATTTTTAACTTTTTTCTCCTAAAAATAATAGATCAAATCAAAACTTGAACTTTCTGGTTGATTTAGTGTCTTTGTTGCTGACATTTTGAATATTTTAACTTATTTCTGATGTAAATTTGAATCTATCTCTATTACTTGTCCACATATGATCCCTTTGTAATTACCATTTTCCAGCCTACCCCTAGCTAAGACTATTGCTAATAATAAAAACTATAATATTAAAGATTATTAGTGCACCTTTTAATTGTATTTCTTTTATAGTTCTTTCTAATATCAATCTAAAGATCAGTGATGTCTTAAATTTTTGAAATTTCACTAAATTAGACATTATTTTTATAAATTATACCTACTTAAAATAAGTTTACTTTGAACAGCTTACTTCTAATACTAATTAAGAGAAAGAAAACAAAAAATTTAAATCCTGTTATATGAGAAAATAAGACACAAATCTACTCACATATTAATGTTAATTGTCAGATTGTTTACAGTGAATGGCAATCTGTATTCCACATCTTTCTGTATTTCAGCTATACTGTAAGAGAAAATTTGGAGGAAAATTATCAAAAGCTATAAAATCATCAAAGTTAAAAATAAACATTAAATGTTAGCATTTATTAAAACTATTTTTAATTTTAATAACAGAATCTGGATAGCATCGCATACTTGTTATCCTGAGAAGAAAATTATAGTTAGAACAGCTTCCCAAATAAGCAAACAATAATATTCTGAAATATCCAAGGGGTAGGAGTAGGATGTTGATAAAAGTGACAAGGAAAAACTCTTGAATTAATGCCAGATTGATTTACTATCATTTTATCCAATTCATCATTAATAGTAGCAGTGGTGTACAAGCTAGTTAGCAAGATGTCTGGGTTCTAATAACAACTCTGCTATTATCTAGTGTAGTCTTAGGATATGAGCTGCTGGCTGCTTTCCAAAAACAAATATTCACGTTCTTCCCAAGAGAAGCCTGATTTTATTCTGGGTAGCAATGTTCTGGTCTTTCTTCTGAGTAGTTGCTGGTAAAGACTTAAGTCACAGCTAATGTTTATAAGGAAGTTGCTGACAACTGGTATGAGTTCATTTTGCCTTTCTTGCTTTCTTCCTACTTCCTTCTTAGATCTGATAGCTGGAGTTCTAGTAGCCATTTTGGACCACGAATGACCATAAGAATGAGAGCCACGTGCTAGAGATGGCTAAGCAGAATAAAAGAAGTAGCTTGAGTCCCTCATTACTGAAATTGCCAGACTCTTAATTTCTTTTATGTGAGAGAAAAATAAACTTATCTCTTGTTGAAGCCACCATTTGGAGGTCTTTGTTACTGGTAACAGAATATAAAGCCTCTTAAGCCTTTTAAATTAGATGACTTGGGTTCAAATTCTGCCAATATCATTAACTTGCATGGGCAAGTTCCTCAAGCTAAGACTTTTCTCTCAAATGGGAAATAGGGATGTTAAAAGTATCTATCTACCTAAAAAAGTTATAAGACATAGTACTAGGCAAATAATCATTCAATATTTTAGCTATTATTAGAGAAGCATTTCGCATGCATCTAAGTAGGGCCCCATCTGGATTTGTGATACTAAAGTTTTAACTCATTAGTTTTGCAGGTACTATGTAAGTTTTTATAGAACATTTTCATAAGATATTAAAATGAATTTCATTAAATTTTTACTTAAATTTTTCAATTAAGGAATATCCAATTCATTTCCCCCACTGTTATGTTGTTAACATTAAACTTTTTTACATGCTTTGTTCACAAATAAGGTATCAATAAAAACAAAAAGCGACACTCATATCATCACCTTTTACTGAGAACTGAACCACCATTAGCAAATTGTAAAAGAAGTTAATCATGGCAACAATGCAGTTTTACTAGCTGCATCAGACAAAATGGCAGGCGGGTGTTAGTTTCTACTTAATCAAAATAAGAATCATCCCCTGAGTAGCTTATAAATGTGATTTTGAACATTTTGCTACCTTAATAACCTTAAAAAACTTATTCAAAATTAATTCATTCTTATTGAAAAAAGAATAAACAAAGAGAATATAACAATGACCCAGGATCTCTTATCACCAAGACAACCACTATTCTAATTTTCTATATTCACACCCTTATTTACAATGAAAATACAATTGTATTCTACATACAATTTTGAAACTTGCTCTTTTTCCCACAGGATTCCTTGTGATTATCTCTCTAAATTTACATCAGTGACAATGTTATCTTACATTACCATTTTTAATGGCTACAAATGTTTTAGTATGTGGTCATGCTGTTATTTAACCTATTCGCTACTATTAGATATTTTTCCAATTTTTACTATTAAAAGTTATGCTGTGATAAACATTCTTATAACTGCATCTTTATGTTGACAGTGGTACTATTTTGTTTGTGTGTGTGCGCGCACGCATGTGTGCTGGAGATGAAGCCCAGAGTCTTACACGTTAGGCATGTGCTCTACAATTCAGCTACATCGGAGGCGGAGTGGTACTATTAATAATTTTGCTAAATTCTCTGAAAGAAGAGAATTAATGTGGTTTTACTTCAGTGCCTCCAAATCTGTTTGTGGCTAAATAAAGCTAAGATAGTAGAAAATTAATTAATCAAAATATATATTTAACTGGTATTCTTATTTCTTTGATAATCCCTAAAACTTAAAATGCAATAGAGGCATTATTTAAAGATTTCTTTATGAAATAAGCAATAATTTTTGCTTGGTTTGTATTTTGTGTAAATTAGGATTTTCCAAGGCAGAGTTCAACTGAACAGGTATCATGTATCTATAGCATCTTGCGAGGCAATGAGATGAGTATGGTGTGTTTCTGTTCTGAAAGAGAACTCAGCTTGACCTGAAAGTAAAGTGATGTTTTAAAGAAGATCAGTTCAAGACAATGATTTCCTACAGTCCTGGGTAATTCAAGTAATAGTTTATATGTAAATTTTGCAAATAAGGGATTCAGATGCTTAAAGAATGTAGATGGAAAATAGACAATTTTCCTTTCCCATCTACATCTCCATAACATATCAAAACAGATTTCTTGGGGCGGGGAGCAGTACTGGGGTTTGAACACAGGTCCTTGCACTTGCTATGTAGGTGCTCTACCACTTGAACGCCATCCCCCCCGACAGCCCTTTCTTAGTTATTTTTTCGAATAGGGTCTCATTTTTATGCCCATGTAGTTGGAATGACATTTGTGCAGCATGCCTAGCTTTCATGTCTTGAGTTGGGGTCTCATGAACTTCTAGCCCAAGCTGGCCTCAAACTTTGATCCTCCCAATCTCTGCCTCCTGAGTAGCTGGGATTACAATTGTGGGAACCACAATGTTCAGCTTAAAATAGATATTTAAAATAAAATCCATAACAGCATTGAAAAGCAAATAGTGTCATAAGTAGACAAGAAATTTTGAGGAAGTCCAGAAAGATAAAAGATGTGACTTGATTTAAGGAAAAGGATGAAAATAAAGAAAAAGAACATAAATACAGGTAATAATTGCAATCCAAAACAAATGACTAATACAAAGTTAGGAGCCATTTGAAGGTCCTCTAACTCACTGAACCTAATCAGTGCAAACTAAGAATACGCAGGGATGGGGAAGGGTAGGAGCATTTCTCAGAGTAATGAGTGAGGTGACATATGTAGCAGGGTAGGTTAGGTAACTCTCCTCCTACTTGTCCCAACCAGTAAATGGCAATAATATTTGTATTCAGCAAATCACAGTGAGCAGCCTCTAAAATAGCAGTGCTTCAGGAAGTTACCAAACTCTGGGCAGCTGCTGACTCCCAGAAGACAACTATCAGCTTGCCCCATAAAGGAACAAGTTATTCATTTTCCTTCATCCTCAGAGGCAAGTCATGGCAAAGACAATATGTTTCCTCAGTAAGCCAATGAGAAATCTCAAACACATAAAACTCTGGAAGGCATGCAGGAAGCTCAACAAACCAAAAACACAAATTAACAGACCAAAAGGAGACTGTTAAGTCTGTGTAATCAATATCCTTAGAGGAATAAAAGAAAACTAGCACCTGCATGTACCCATGAAGTCATAAAGCCTATAAAAATTACATGACCATCCAAGATTATACTGCCAGGCAATGACACATCTGAATTTCCTGACATCTTGCTCATTTTTTCTTTCATTAAGAAAAAATGAATCTATATGCACCAGGTGCATAGAAAAAATGAATCTATATGCACCAGGGTGAAAGAGAAACAAAAATTCTGATAAAAGCACTAACTCCTAAATAAGATACTCTTGTTGAATACAGAAGAAAAATAGCACCAGAGTTATCATGTAATTGATTATTATTTAAATGAATGCAGAAGTCCTTTACCTGGGAGATACAGGTAAAAGGTAATAAAGGAGGATTATTATTTGTATAATGTTGAGTTTACATTGTTAATTATAAATTATAATTACCACTCAACATATCTGCAGGTTGTTGTTCTAGAGATAAGGAAATTAACTTACTTTAAATATTGTGAGAGAGTTCTGGCTAGAATAGTCACTGCTAAGACCATCAGTTTTTTAATATTTTCTGACTGTTGGTGCAATCTAGAGAAATACTACTTAAAGGCTTCACTTCTGAAGAAGTAAGATTAGTAAGTATAACCACTTCAGATAGTCTCAAATGTAAGTAACTGAAAACCAAAGTGAAAGTGCCTTTAGTAGTGAGGAGTTGTTTACCTTAAACTACAAGTAGTACAGGGGAAGGAAGCTTCCAGAGTTGTTTAATTTAGTAGTAAAACATCATATTTCTATTTTACCATAGTCAATGGTCAGTTCATGATACAAATAGTTCCAGAAGTCCATGTTACACAATAGTACCCAAAACATCAGAGGCATTTCTTACACCCATCTGTTTTTCCTCCCATACATCCTTTTCATTATTTTGAGCCCCTCCCAGAAGACTTCCCTTCCAACTCCCATTTACCAAGATCAAGTCAAGAGTTGGACTTCCACAACAGGAGGGGGTGGGCTGTGTATGGAGTTGAGCCCATCATTATTTATGTAAACAATCATATTCACCTTCGGAGGCTGAAAGAGCCCAACCTCCACTAAGTCTGTGGCTCTGCAGAGGGGAAAATGGAATAAAAACAAGTGCTATTTCAAGAAGTCAGACGAAATGGATCCAAATAGGAAACCAAGTGCCTCTTGAAGTGAGCTTCTTCAGGATGTAGAAAAACAGCAGAATTAGTTCTTCTACACATAAAATCAGAAAGTTTAGTGGTAAATTTAATACTGTCATTCAGAAGATACAGTACTTGAGCCTAGTCTATATAACTTTCACCTTCCATTTTCATAGCAGACTTAAACCTGTTATTGTGATTTAGTTAAACATCTTCTCTGGGTCATTTATGATGATCTCCCACTCACCCAATGAATGAAGAAATACCTATAAATTTCACCTAATTTTTGGAGAGGCCCAAGGAAAATAAGAACTTAAAAATTTATTAAATTAACTACAAATGAGTTTATATCCATTAGCAAAATGGAATTTTCAATGTTATAAGGAGCTGGAAGGGAAATGAGACAGTGCAGTGGGAGAAAGGCTACTCAGTAAAGTAGCATAAAAATAAAGTTGAAAACTTATACAGTGAGAAAGAGACCCTAATCTTACTTTTGAAAAAAAAAAAGAGTATGAAAAATGAGTGAAGTAGGCATCATGTAATAATATTCTGATGTTTGCAATTTAGCAATTTTTTGTATTATTTATAAAATGGTTAAAACATTCTTTTACCTTTTACTGAGTTCACTTCAGAATAACTAATCATGGTGCCTTTGCATACAAATCTTTTAATTATTAGGTGAGTTACTAATTTGCCTAATTAAGGAACATATTTTTGGATACTACACAGATCAATCATTTTTACTAGATAGCTTAGAAATATGTCATTAGTTAAAAGGGACAACTTAATAAGAATAGGTAAATGGTATCTTTTTCTGGGATTGTGCCCCACTCTTTAACAACTGGAAGCGTATGATGTATTTGAATGTCTCCAGAATTATCCAACTACAGTTTGTAAGTGTGAACTATTTTAATTAAATCAAGCCTCAAGTTTTTTATAGGAATCAGTTAAGGTTATATGTTCATACTACTGTAAAATATGTAGATAATGTCACATGTCCAAAATTTCTGGTTCAAAAAATAGTCACAAATGGATCTTTCCTCCATTCAATTTAAGGTTCTCACTGATCCTATGCCAACTGGATGAACAATCACTGCTTTACAATTTCAGTTTATTTGGGAGGGCAAAAAGTAAATTTTAGATCACTTTCTGTCTCAGCAGTAAGGGACTATGGAGTATTTCAAAATTGCAATTCCAACCTCAAAGAATAGATTTTTTTTTTCCAGCACTGAGAATATGTACCAAAATATACTAAAGGCTTAAAACCAATTAATTCTAAAAATGTGGTTCTAAAAAATGTTTCTGCATTAATAGGACTAGTACAGTATATAGTGTTCCAAGGTGACAACTTCTAAGGGGATGAACTTTTTGTTATGTTTGTTAAAAATGAAGTCACCTTATTTTACAATTATAGATTATGAGAGTAGTTCTTATCAGCTAATAAAGAACACCATTTAGAATAAGACTGACTTGGGTTGGGGCTCAGAAAACCATACCCCAAAGCATGACACTTTGAACTAAAGGAGATTTGAGGGCTTCAAAAGCAAAGTCTCTCAGACTTTCTTCTGTCCTCCTACTTCTCACCCCACTTTGTCCCCCAAAGCAGTCATAAAAGGAGAATTCGTCTTTCTCAAAGCCAAAAAAGCTAGAACTCCTCTCCCCCAAAGCAACCTGTAAGTCTTCCTAGAAGACTCTCATTCCCAAGGAGTCCTGTCCCATACATAGTAGAAGGACTGCTACACAGAGACGCCAAGAATCTGGACCAGCCTGCTAGGTCTCCCCACCTCAGTTGACTCAGTGACTATCTCACAGCTTTTATCCAATTATGCTTCTACCCAGCTGTCCATTCTTCATTGAACCTAAGCATAGAAATACAGTTTTCCCTGAGGCTTTGACTCTTCATCTCTAAAGGCTACCAGGAAACATAAAACTTTGGTTGAATAAATTTGTTGTGCTTTTTCTCATGTAACGTCTTTCCTTAAAGGAGTATGGACCATGACCCACACATTGTATGAGGAAAAGTATCACATCTTTCCTCCTGCACACTTGTTAGAACTTTGTGAACTTTATTTTCCAAAATGAAAGCTACCAATAATAGTCTGCCATTCCTTTCAGTCAAAACCACAAATTTTCTTCTTCTTCTTTTTTTTTTTTGGCACTACTGGTGATTGAACTCAAGGCCTGGTGCTACAAGTCATCTACTAAGTAGAGCCACACCCCAAGTCCTTTTGCTTTTAGTTTCTTTTTTCAGATAGGGTCTTTGCCTGGGCTGACCTTGGACCTCAATCCTCCTACCTCTGTATCTGGGATTACATAGGTTTACTGGCATTTCTGGCCACAAATTTTCACTTTATGAAAGTTTTCTAAAAGCAGAATAATTGAGACAAGGAATCAAGATAAACTTAAAGTTCAGTCTGCAACAGGCCTCATGCTAGCCAAACTGATTTTACAACTGACTTTTAACAAGACATTTAATTTAAAACTTACTTGCTTTGAAAAAAAATTAGTGGTGTCTAACAAATGAAATGTCCCTTAATAGCTTGTTCAATAGGAAATACTCAATTTTATTATCTCATGATATACACATATACATTAATTGTTGAAAAGATTATTTTAAAAAGGGCTAAGTTTAGGCATGATGACACTCATATAAAACACATGCTGTGAAACTGTTAAGTATAATTGTAAAACTCATAACACAAAGAAGTTCTAATTTTTTAAAACCCTAGTGGTCACAGACATTTGCAATATAAAAAGACTATAGCAAACCAGTTGATAATAACTCCAATTAAAAAAATTTCTAATCTGACCACGATAAAATGAAAAACTCTGATAACAAAACAACCCAAACAATACATGGCAATTCCTTAGCGTGTGGCCAAGACTATTAAGGAAGTAAGAAAGTCACAGACACTAACAGTGACAAGATGGGGAGAGGTTATTGGAACGGGGTAAGTTTTTAATTACTACTCAAAAGGATTGACTGTTACTTGGAGAAGAATTCACTGATGAAAACTTTGGCTTCCCTTTCCTTTGATGTTGCAACAGTTTTATTTTCCACTTGGTGAAACTAGGGGGTTATTCTTCGCAAATCTCTTTAGCCAAGTATAGCATTGTAACAATTTGGCCAATGCTGCAATTAAGGTGGACAAGAGGGATAGTAGTAAGAAAGCCAGGGATAGCAATGACACTGGATATAGACTAAGAGGGATTACTGTCAGCCACGACGTGACAAGGGGGATGAGCAAGTCGGAAGGGGGCTGGGCAGCGGCGGGCAGGACACCGGGATCCGGAGGAGGAAGGTGAACTCCGGGAGGAATGGAGAAAGCGCGCGCCCACAGCAAGCCAGGTCTACCGACAGGACGCGTCTAAGCAGCCGGCCGGAGGACCGTGGAGGGCGGGGAGGACCAGCCCGCCACCCCCCACCTCCTCCTCCCTCCGCCCCACTTCTCCCTAGGGTGGGAGAAGCGGCCACAGTCACCTGGAGTGTGAGTTCCGGAGGGACTCGATCAAGCGCTGCTTCTGCTGTTGGAGGCTGGTGAGACCACCGGGGGACCCAGCTGCGGAGGCGCTCTTGGTTAAGGGAAAGAGCCAGCTCATCCTCCTTGGGTCCCCTGGCCCGACGCTCTAGAAGGCTCCGGGCCTGCTTCTCCCAGCTGCTCAGCCCGGTCGTTCTCCAGTGGCAGAGGCGCGGGCTAGGACGCCCGTGGTCCAAGCACTGGGAGGCTGAGTCTTCACTAAGCAAGCCTGGCTCGCGGTTCCCGGGTCTGGGGGGACATGCTATAGCTACAGAGGGGCAACTTGCCCGGCGGGACAAGCAGTCCGACCCTCGCGGCCCAGACGCCCAGGGCAGCCAGTCAGAGACAGTCGGACCGCCCAGCACTCCACCAGCGTCCGTCACCTGCGCGCTCCGCCCCCTCCCGCGCGCTCCTCCCCCTCTGCGCGTTACGTCATCATCGAGCGCCCCCGCCTGGACGTGCTAGGAGCGGCGGCGCAGCACGGTGCGGCGTAGCTCCGGCTCCCCTTTCCCACTTGCTGGGCGAGAGGAGTCTATGGGGCACCCGTTGCCGCCGAGGATACCGCCACCGCCACCGCCGCCGGGTGCTGTCTCTATGGCGAGAAGGAGGAGGAGGAGCGCGAGCTCAGAGACACAAGTAGATCTTGCTTCTGCCGCGGACCCGCGGGGGGAAGGGCGGGCTGGGGAAGTAGAAAAGGGGCGGGAACGATGAACCTCAGAGGGTATATGAGGCGGTTGTTGGGAGGGTGCCTGATGGAGGAAAGAGCTTGGCGGCGGTTAACGGGCTGGGGGCTATGTCAAGAGGGTGGCGCGGAAAGATGACGCAACGGCTTTGTACCTGGGACTTAGATGTGGGACGGAAATTGAGGGTGGAGGGCGGTGGCCTAGATCCTGAGCTTTGATACCTCCTTACGTAGCAGTGCTGGGGAGTCAATCTGGCTCCAGCAAATGCTATCAGTACCTTCGCTCTGGCTCTCTGCCAGGGAAAAGACTTACCTGTGACATGAATATCTTTGTGCTGTCCGCTTGTTTCTCTGGGAGCCTGTGGAGATGCCAACTAAGTCATGAGAAGGCCTTTGGTGCCTCTTGAGAGCTTCTGGGACTGCAGTAGAGAGAGGTGGAGGAAAGCAGTCTTAAACTAGTCTTTCCAAGTGTGTGTGTCAGGGCTGGGAGAGTTACAAGGAATGCCCTTGCTTTCTGTTCTTAGACCCCTCGGGGTACATTTATGACTCCTGAAGAGTTCAGAAAGACACAGGACCCTCCGCCTTAACCTGTTTTTTTTTTTTTCTTCCACATTTTTGTGTAAACTGAAGGAGCATTTGGAATTTCCCTACCTAAGAATCAGTATATTGGTCTGTGTTATCATTATATACCATGAATTCTGTGTTTATGGACCAGGATGTGAAATCTATCTTTGGTAGCGATGGGAAATTCTCCGACTTTTGAAAATTAGAAAATTTTAAACTTCTGTTGCCTTTCTCCCTCCTGCAGTTATGGACACTCATGATTTCTGTAGCCATCTGTTTTTTTTTTTTTCTCAGCATTTATTTAAAATATTGTTTTAGTTTTGTTCCCTTCAGTCTGGCTTGAATAAATAATTCTAGTAAAGCAGAGTTTATAATAAGTAAAATTTTAAATGTTTTATTAATGAGGAGTAAAAACAAAGACTATCTTTGTCATGGTAACAGCTGATCTTGTTAGCTTCATTTTTATCTGGAAATGGATGGTTTAATAAATTTTGTGCAAAAAGTGAATTGAACTCGGAGTAGTCTTTAATTAGAGTTTTAAAAGTATGTTTTGTGTATGCATAAAAACACTGTAAAAAGTGTAACACTGAAATTGTAACCAAGAAACTGGGGCTGTAGTCCTTTTTTTCTTATAAATTAGCTGTGCAGCTTTAGAAAAGTAACTTGCCAAAATTTGATCTTGTTATGAATCAGGGACTTTAAATAAGTAACCTCTTAACTTTTCTACCAGCTCAGTTTCTCAATTCCTATGATTGAGATTTATAATATAGTTGGTTTTTACTTTGGTTTTTATTTTACAGGTACATAAATAAAGGATAAAGTATTTTATGAAGTAAATCTTCAATCAAGTATAACGTTTTGATGCTTGGCATCTAGACTTCTTTTGCCCTCACTATGCCAGCAGCAACTGTAGATCATAGCCAAAGAATTTGTGAAGTTTGGGCTTGTAACCTGGATGAAGAGATGAAGAAAATTCGTCAAGTTATCCGAAAATATAATTATGTTGCTATGGTAATGCACATGACCAGATCTTTAAAATGTTTCTTACAAAGGGGGGTTTAAAAGTTTAACTTCAACCCTTTTGGTTGACTTTTAGGGATTAATTTAATCATGAAAAAAATTGCAAATCCCATTCAGCCAGAAACATACCTGTAATTTGACAAGTCTGGTTTAATACTACTGCAGTGAGAGAAAATGCATTGGGAGCCATGGGGCAATTGAGAAAAAGCGTTTGAAAGCACTTTAGGATTTGGGCTAGCGTGAGATGGTTGTAGTAAAGACTTAGTGAGGCAGAGCTTTTGCTGTGGATCAGATGCTGTCAGGAAGCTAGGGGAACTCTATGAGTATCTTATTAACTCTTAGCTGAAATGAGAGAAGACTAGAATAAGGCTGCAGAGAGGCAACAGTCACTCATTTATCAAGGGTGAGCGATTTAGTCATTTTTACGGTTTGAAAGGGGTTTTTTGTTTTTCAAGACTTTTTTTTTTGGCTTTGTTCAGACATGGTTACAGAATGCACTTTTCTGATGCTGAGTTCTGGAAAATTATTAAATGAGTATCAGGTGAGTTCTCAGCAGCACCATAGTACTAGATGAGCTTTTGGAAGCCATGGACCTCCTGAATATGTTTTTTTAAAGAAAAATGTCAGGCCTCCCATGAAACGTTGGTCTGCAGTTTTAAAAAATTATCAGTAGAGTTCCATGAACGCACTATAATACTAAGCAACTCTGCTTTTGTACATGTTACTTAAACTGCCTAGACTGTTTATGCAATTATTTTTCTGCTTTACTATTGTACTTTGTGTATCTCTTGCAGCTACTCTTCTTTTCTAGATCAACTAGATTATTTGCTCTGTAAAGCAAGGGGTTAACATTTTATACATCCGCCCTCCCCATCTACCCTAGCGCAGTAACATACACTCTCCTTATTCTTATTAACTTGATAGTTTTTGTTCTTAGCTAGTTTCAGTTTGAACTCTAATATCAAACTGATACATTATATTCTTAGTATTTTTAATACAGATAAATAAAAATAAATATGCTTCTTTGGGAATGGATAGGATGATTAGTTAAAATGTGAATATTTGTACACAGGCAATATTCTATTTAATAAAGGTACTTATTTATATTTAGAGCTGAAGTTAATTTTCTTTCTTCGGGAGGGAGGGTTATTTTCCTAGGCAGTAGAAATTCAGAGTGATCTTTTATTTCTTAGATGATAGGAGTAGCAGCATTGCAGAAATAATATTCTACAGGAAGCTGGAGATGGCAACTCTAGAGAGAATTCTAGGTTAGCTAAAGAAATTAGGGGACTAATAGTCCTTCTAGTGTTATTAGTGTTGAGATAAACTGTTTCACAGAAACATTTGAAAAACACAGTGCATTTTCTACTTTTTAATCAGTTTTTCCTGCAGTTTGGGTTTAGTATTGTAATACTGTGAGCATAGCTCCATCTACCCCTTGGGAGACATGAATTCATTATTTTTTTCCTCTTCCTTGGTTATAGAGTAAGTATTTGGTTGTGTTTATCTTGTGTATCTTATACATAGTAATTTATTGATATATTTAAAGTAAGAAAGAATAATTAAGTTTATAGTTCCTAGTTGAAAAATATTTACTAACTGAATGAACATTTAGAATATCATCTGTAACAGAATTCTTTTGACTTGCATCAAAAATTATTCTAGGAGTTTATGGATCATGTTTGTGACCATTTAGTAGATAATGAATCTTAAAACTCTTTTACAGGACACCGAGTTTCCAGGTGTGGTTGCAAGACCCATTGGAGAATTCAGGAGCAATGCTGACTATCAGTACCAACTATTGCGGTGTAATGTAGACTTGTTAAAGATAATTCAGCTAGGACTGACATTTATGAATGAGCAAGGAGAATACCCTCCAGGAACTTCAACTTGGCAGTTTAATTTTAAATTTAATTTGACGTAAGTGGGAAATAAATACATAACCCAGACTTTTTTTTTTTTACTAGTTTGATTTTAGGAATTATTTTCCTGGATACAGTAGAATCTTGGTATCTGTAGATATATTGTACCAAGGAGACCACCATTGAGAGCGTTCAGGATGCATGGAGTTCAGTACTCTACTGTGGATGCGTGATTCATTTTACCCGTAGTGCTATCCAGCTTCTGCTAACAATGTGCTTTCAACAGTTCTAGAGTTTATGCTTTATCACTTGAATTAAGCATAGTACTTGCCCTCTTTGGCTTTTGGATCACTATTTGCTTTTTGGGAGACATATTTTCACAAAATCAAAAGCAGGGAAACAGCAGATCACAGTGCAGGACTGACTTGAGAGCCAATGTAAGAATTCTTTGTTCTTATTCTTCATTGATTACTGTGCTTTTTAACATACAAGACTTAGAACAGGGCTGATGAACTTAGAGGATAATAGTGGTTAGTGGTGTATTTGTATGGCTCATAATTGCATTGCGTTTAATGCAACTTTCTTGTACTCTATAAAAATAATATTAGAATAGCATTTTACTATGTAATACCCTACATCTTATATAGAGGCTAAAAAGTAATCATCTCCACCATAACTAATAACCTTTTAAAAATAGTACAGCTCTGAAACACAATGAAAATTGCCTTCCGTCCTCAAATAATAACCCTTTTCTTTAGTCCTTTACCATTTCATTTGTTCCAGGTTCTTTTTTTCCATACTGGTTATTAGAACATTGTTTTCTAAATAAGAGTTACTGTTTGGATCTCAGTACACGGTAGGAAGTGACTCATCAGTGTCTCTGTTTTAGTGAAATTGACAGTTTTCTTTTCAAGAAACATCTCTGATTTAGTGAGAATGACTTAGTATAATCTTGCAGCATTTTTTTCTTACACAGAGAAGACTTAAGTGTAAAGTTAGGGCATGGGTAAGAAGGAGGATATAGTGCAATACAGTAAGTAGAAAACGTCATTTGGAGTACAAACCAGTACTGGGTTAATGTCGAGAAACCATGAATAGCATCTTGGATATATTGAAGAAGAAAGAAAATTTACTTTTTTTTTAATTGAATGACTACAATGAATGTGTTGATCAGTGTGCTAGGCGCTTAGGCATATTGTGGAGAAAAGTTGGTCATGGTCATTATACCTTAGTGTTTTCTTTTGTCTGCTTTCTATGTTTGTAAACTTTGTGTATTCAGTTTCCACAATGGTCCAAGTCAGGGTTGCTCCTAAGAATTCAGTATTTAGATTTTCCAGTGTTCTTTCAAATTTTACCATTAGCACCAAGGAAGTAACTGCAAATCCTTATTTTCAGACATAGCTCTAAAGACTTGGGTGATATGGAAAGCTATTTGCAGTTAAAATGTGTATTTCATTAGGCTATGAACAAATGTTTCAAAATAGCATATAGCTAAAAAGCATCTGAGATCCAAATGACACTAGTCAGTAGTTTCAGTTATAAGTGATAATTTTCTCTGAATCTTGAAGGTCTGATTTGTAGTGTCTAAAGCTAAATTAAAGCGAAATAGATTTGTGAGCAAATTAAGTTTTCTACATAGAAAGGATTTTACTTTCTATTCACTTTTCTTAATATTTGTAATTACTATACCTATTGTGGGCTTGGAAGCAAAAACCTTTTTTGTGCTTATTTTAAAGCTAGGGAAAGTTTGATTCTGTTGATTTACTAACATTAGTATGTAGAGTTTCAAATAGGGAGCACAGTAGCTGCTATAATATTCTAAATTAGAGTTGAATTCAGTGGTCTGAAATAAACTGAGTATAGCCGCTACTGTGATATGTAGACTAAAAACAATATTATTCTAGAGTTCTTTTTTCCTTCTTACTATCTATTTGGGTATTAAGGATTATTGGTGAGTTAAACACTATTCAGATGACCAATTTGGATTCATCAGCATAAGGACTGGACTTTAACATCAAAGCCTATGGATTTTAGACATGAAATAAGACCAACAATCTGAGATTGTGATATGTAAAACATACTGGCAATTTTTGTCTAGTTTTTTCAGTTTATGAAAGTAGCGTACTTGTACAAAATTCAGAAAATACAGAAAAATAAAACTGTCATCATAGTTTGCTAATATTTCCTCCGAGTTGTTTTGTAACTCTACTAGTATATCTTTTATTTACATTAAGAATATATACTTTTTGGTGGGCAACAGTGGCTCATGCCTCTAATCCTAACTAAGGAGGCAGAGATCAGGAGAACTGCAGCCCTTGCCAAAAGTTCACAAGACCCCATTTCAACCAATAGCTGGGCTCAATGGTGTGGGCCTGTCATTCAAGCTATGCAGTAAGCTGTGATTGGGAAGATCACAATTCTGGGCCAACTTGGGCAAAAAATTTAGGAAACCCTGACTTAACAGAAAAAGCTGGGTATTCCTGCTTCCACCTGTCATCCCAGCTTCAGTGGGAAGTATAAATAGGAGGGTTGCTGTTCAGGCCAGCTCAGGAATAAAGGAGAGACCCCCAACTCCAAAATAACTAGAATCAAAAGAGCTCAAGGTATGACTCAAGCAATAGAGTGCCTGCCTAGCAAGCACAAAGATGAGTTCAAACCCCAGTACTGCTAAAAAAAAAAAAAAAAAAAGTATCATTTTTATACTGTGATCGTGTTACTAACAGATCTTTTAATTATTTGACAAGAGTCAAAATAGATCTTTTTCAGTATACCATGATATAACTAACCATTTGCTAATGTTGCATATTTAGAGTGTGTGCTTTGAATTTTCTTGTTTCCTTGTTCTTAAAATAATGACATTCTTGATATATCTTTATATCAGTCTTAAGATACTGTATTATATGTTACATATACTGTTATATGTACTATATAGTTCAGGTAACAGTTTTTATTAGTTTGTTCAACTAACAGTTTTTGACTGTACAAAAGCAATATGCATTCAGTAGGAACTAGACTTTGAATTTTGATCTTTTCCCTGGCTAGCAACAGATATTCTTGAAATTTGGGGTGGTAGCAGCCAACAGTGTCTCCCAGTTAGCCACAGGATTATGGGTGTAAACAAACAGTATTTTACAGTGTATTGTGCCACTATGCTGTGATGAAAGTTGGGTGGATTAGATGCATTTTCACCTTATGTTCTTTTCAACTCATGATGAGTTTTATCAGGTCATAATTTCATTGTTAGTCAAGGAGCATCTGTATCTGTTCAGCCAGTAGGGGAAATTATTGGAAGTAGAGATCTCCATTCAAAGATAAAAATATTTTTAAGCTTCAGTAATTCAAAGAATGGCATTTTCAAGATTCTTGATGTGCTTTATATACATGCATGAATGTATTACTGAGAAAAAGAAAAATGGGATTGATAGTGTTTTCTGGAAAATTATATTCACTTACAAGTTGATGAAGACTCCTTTCCCATTGCACCCATCTAAATAGCAAATATTAGCATATTTGGATGTTTGCCATTTTGACTTGTGAGAATATTGTTTTTTTATTTGATTTCTTTGATAACATGCTGATGGCTCATGTTTTTCAAGCATACAAATCATTGTTTTTTGTTTTTCATGACTTTTCCAGATTTTTTTCATAGTGCAAGTGATAGCAAAGTTTAATAGAAAAGGAATACACTCAATAGAGTGAAAGTGAGTCATCTCTAGAGAGAGAATAGTACTCGATTAATCTTTAGTGTTAGAAGAGATCTTATAAGTTGTCACAATTGTTTTGAACAAAAGATCTCATTAAAAAGTCAACACCAGCACCTGTAGCAATTCTTATAATTTGACTAAACAATATTTTAATTATTCTTTTAAGGTTATTATACCTTAATAGTTTTTCCTTCCATTGAGGAAAGAAGGTGGGGAGGGCAGAATGAAAAGGTTTAAAAACTTGAAATGGTTACCACCAGAAAAGGATAGTTTGTTGATTTGAAGAATTGACTTATAACCACAGGAAGTTATCCACAAAATTTAGATAAGAGTACATAGATTGAGCTGAATTCAGCTATGTGTACTGTAGCAGAGAAAAAAGAAGTAATTATACACATATCTTTTGTGTACCAAACTTGAGTAAAAATGCCCAAGGTGCTCATCCAGATCTCCTAACCTGGGCATGGTGACTCAGTAGGTCTTGGACTTCAGTGGGACCTAGGAATCCATACTTTTGGTAAGTTCTCTGGGTGATTATTATCATTGGGCAAGTTTGGGAGATACCGATTTAAACAGTACAGTATTCACTATTGTATTGCATTGATGTATTATTTAATATGGAGATAAAAAGTTGCAAAAAGCTAAAATAAAAGTAAATTTAGCATATGGCCAAGAATAACTTGAACCTTTGGTTGGTTATAGTTGTTGAAGCATGCCTCAGTGAGCACTGGGACTTGAGTGATACTCTCATTGGTTAAGGTACATATTTTTTAGTATAGCAAAGCAAATATCTATTGTTTAATGGGGAGAAAAAAAAAACTTGAATTTATTGTCTTTCCTAAAGGATTTCCAGGAGAAATTTTGATTGTTGTAGTTACTGTTTTTAAATGTTTTAGTAATTAGTTTTGCTATTTATAGACATTGATTTCCAGAGAATAAACCATAATAAAAAAACAAAAAACATTTTGACTCAAGTAAAATATTTCTTGTGGTTTGATTAGTTTATTGAAGCTTATAATAGATTTTTTTTTCTCAGTACCAGAGATTGAACTCAAGACCTTGTGCTTGACAGTCAACCACTTTACCACTTGAGCCATGCCTCATTCCTAGAAATTTCTTTTTCTAAAGGTGGAAATCAATATTCTTAAAAGTTACAAAGTAAATAAAAAAATTAAATGATAAATCCACAAAGTACCTATTTATTGATTCTCAATAATATATATCAGCATTTTTATAACTTTTTAACTTAGTATTTTAATATTTTGGATACCACTGTATTTATGCTTAGAAATTAGAGGTGGCTCTCTGGCTTAAGTGAAACCTTGAAGGGCTGGTTTATATTTAGATTTCCTGGCTTGATTTTGGAAGACCGTCTTCTAGGACTAGGATTGTTGGAAAAAGAAACTGTTGAGCTTGTAACAGTATTTTAAACAGTTCACAGCTTATTGGAGCCATTTGAAAGACTCATCATTTGTAAGAGGAGGCATCTCCTTTTTCTTTAAGATTGAATGTAGTTTAATTCAGCCATACAAGATGTTTTCCAGTTGTTGTCTCTTTCCTGGTTCTGCTGAGTGTGTGAAAGATAGGCGTAGTCCCTCATAGCTATGGCTGCAGCTCCATCTAGCAGCATTAAAATGGCTGCTTGAGACTGAGAGCTCCTGAAAAGAACATACCTTATCACTTTGCAATGGTAGCATTTGGTGAGTAGAAAACCCCTTTTTCAAGCCCAATTAAATTTATGTAATATGTAGAATTTATGTACTGTGGGATTGAAGGCTAAAATCTTACCTTTGGACTGTTATGAATGATTATTTACTTTTTAAACACTTTTTCTGAAGTAATGATCCTTATATTTGAGTTGCATTTTTCTTGCAAAGATGTAAAGCCTTGGAACAGTTGGACCCAAAACAATCTCTGTCTTGTTTCTAGCACTGTAGTTGTAGGTATAAGTGGGGGAAAAACTGAAGTAATGGCATTTTTGAATATTGTTTTTCTTTCTCCTGCCAGGGAAGACATGTATGCTCAGGACTCTATAGAGCTACTAACAACGTCTGGTATCCAGTTTAAAAAACACGAAGAGGAAGGAATTGAGACCCAGTACTTTGCAGAGCTTCTTATGACATCTGGAGTAGTCCTCTGTGAAGGGGTCAAATGGTTATCATTTCATAGGTAAAAAGATTACATTGAAAACGGCATTTGTGTTTTCATCTTACACCTCCCTCACACTTGGCTTTGGTCACTATATCACCAATTTCAGGCTTAGTTCTAGAAAGAATTTACTGTCATGTAGCTGTCTTCCTATCCTCTTATAAGGCTTGTGCTGGTCTACTTTAAAGTTAGCTTATTAACATGGGATCTCTTTTAGCCTGTGTGAGGCAGTATTGCTCAGTGGAAAGAGTATAAGCTGGTTGATATCCAACAGTGCCATTGAGGATCTGTGTCACCTGTGGTGCTTTAACGTGTTTATGTTCATAGAAAGGAGACCATTTAGAAAAATTCTTTTTTGAGGCTGGGTGTAGTGGCTCATGCATGAAGCAATGATCAGGAGGATCATGGTTCAAGGCCAGCACAAGCAAAAAGTCTGCAAGACCCCATCTCATCCAATAGGTGCCATACCTATCATCCCAGCTACACTGGAAGCATAAATAAAATCACAGTCCAAGCCAACTTCTCAAAAATGCAAAACCCTATACCAAAAAATAACTAAAGCAAAAAGGGCTGGGGTGTGGCACAAGTGGTAACATGCCTGCCTAGCAAACATGAAGCCTGGAATTCAACCTGCAGTGCCACCAATCATTCAGTTAATCAACAAAATCTTCCATATGTCAATCACTCTGATAGGATTTTTAGGAATTAAAAACAAAACAGTAAAGGCCTTGTCTTCAATGGAGTTTACATTCTGGTGAGGCTAGACAGCTTATTTTTTAAATGAACTAATTCATATTGTTTCTCTGCTAGTAATAACTGCTTTTAAGAAAAATGAAATGTCAGAGTGCTGTGGATGGATATGTGGGCACTTTGGAGTAGTTTTTAAGTAGGTGATAAGGCTTCGTGTAGAAGAAACATCTTACAGACTTGTTTTAGTGATCAATAACAACATGCTTAAAGCATCTAGTAAAGTGTTTTACACACAGTAAATGCTAAGTACTGGTTTTTAATTTTTTATTATAAAATAAAACTAGACCATTTGAGAGAATTTCTAGAAAGGAAATTAGTTCTCTTTTGTAAAAATAGACTTCCAGTTGTGAGAAAGTTTTTCCTGTGTAAGCAAACTAAATTGGCAATCTGGGGTCTGAAAGGGACCTTGGAAATATATATATTTTTTGGCCTTTTGTTAAATTTTTAAGAAGCATTGTGTTACACAAGTGTTAATGCTATTATACTTGCTCCCCTCCACACATTTATTTTAAGTATGTATCTCCTGCATTCATTAGAGTTTTCACTATTTGCTCTGTGTAACGATTACAGTGAAGGACTATTCCCTTTGTAAACTTTCATGTAGTACTAAGCAGTTAAATTTTGAGTTGGAGGTACTGACTGTTCGAATTCTCACCTATCTTTTCTCTATTCTGTTCTGCTTGAACTTGTATGTCAGTAATCAAGACTTTGAGTCTGTTAATTTAAGGGATATTTTTTGAGTTTTTCTTAGGTTATGTTTTCTTGGAGTTTAGAATCTAGGTTAGACTATGTTGTATGTAAATATTTACCATGATAAGAATTATTCCACTAAATATGATTAAAAATATTTTCTTTCCTAAACTCTAGGAGCAAGCAAAAGCCATATTTTGGCTTGTTTTAGATAGTCAGCAACTATAATTGTGGGCCAACTGTAATTCCTTTCCAACTATCATAAGTTTAAGTTCCTGGTCTTTAAAGCTAATACTTGGTATTCCTTAAAGATCTTCAATGATAATGCTCTCCCCTTTTTCAAATTAGAAGTAAAATTGTGAACATGAAATAGAATTTATTTTGTTTCCCCTCCAAAAGATAGGTTAAGTAGCATTTAATGAAATATTTGAGTCCCAGTTATGTGCAAGAGAAAAAATAATTTAAAAATGTGATTCCTGTCCTTTAAACCAATAGAGAAAACAATCCATGTACTTTAAGGGGTAGTACAAGAAAACCGCTTGTGCTTCATAAGAAAGCTCTGAGAGCTGAGCTCTTCAGGGAAGGCTTGCTGCCAGCTTAGCAGAAAGAAAGGTAGTTAAGAAATATATGACTGCTATAGGATAAAGGTAGGTATAAAGCTGTGGGAAAATGGCCAATTAAAAGGATAGGAGATCTTATTTGAGAGCTTACATTTTACTATCCAGGATAGTAGTTCTCAGCTTTTAGTACATTCATTCTTTCATGTGCAAGCTTCCCACTAGTAATGCAACTTGGAGAGTCAGACAGAGATAGAACAGAATTGTAAGGGAAAAGAATGCACTTACAAAGGAAATCACTTAGGAGAAGTGCAAAAATTTTGTAGGGAATTACTCTTTGGACTTTGGAAATGTGTAAAAAGTGGCATGATGTGCATTATTTTGCAAGAGAATTGGTAGGTTTTTAACATTTTTGGTCAGCTTTCCATTCATCTTTATTTCTCTATTCCGTATTTATTTAATTTTTTTCAAGACATCAGTCAGTAGTTTTATACTCTTCTTGATTTTCCCTACCTAATCATATGGCAGTTCAGATCCTGTGTATTTGGGTCTCTGAAGGATCAAATGACAAGTTTTAGCATTGTCTATAAAATGATGGTATTTACAACTGTAAATATGACTGGTTTCTCCACTCTTGTATGAACTTTGTTTTCTTTTATTCTTTTTTGCCATTTAAAATTTGTATCAGAAAGGCATTTTGTTTTTTTCATGTCTTTGGTATTGATGTTTCTTCTTTATTCTTTTATCATTTTGCAGTGGTTATGACTTTGGCTATTTAATCAAAATCCTGACCAACTCTAACTTGCCTGAAGAAGAACTTGACTTCTTTGAGATCCTTCGACTGTTTTTTCCTGTCATTTATGATGTGAAGTACCTCATGAAGAGCTGCAAAAATCTCAAAGTAAGGCTTCAGGTGACATTACCTGCATTCAGCACACTATTCAGATCAAATAACTGACAAAGTCCTCGGCAAGAATATTGTTTTAAGCATATTTTTAAATGTTATAGTAAATACAGTCATATTATTTGATTATTTTTCTTGCACAAATAGTAATTTTTAGGTAGTTTCTTTTCAGCTTCAGTATATCTTGTCAGAATGTTTTCTGTTTTGTTTGAGGATTTTTTAAACACAGGGCTTTGTGCTTGCTAAGTAGGCACTATACCACTTGAGCCATACCTCCAGCCCTTTTGCTTAAGTAATTTTAGAATATGATCTCTCATTTTTGCCTTGGCCAGCATGGACTGGCATTCTCCTACTTCAAGCCTCCTGGGTAGCTGGGATTACAGGTATGAGCCACTGTGCCTGGCCAGGTAAAATAAGTTTTTAACAAAAGTCCAGCTAAGGGTCAGATTTTTGTTATTGCTTGCTATATTTAAAAATCATGAACTAAAACAGAAATTTTAGTGCTAGTGGGGCTCATCTGTGCATAGAAATAGTGTAAGATCTTACGCTCCCAACGTGCATATAATGTGTCTAAGATAAAATTCAAGTTGGCCCACAATGGGCAGATTAATACAATAGTGTGATAGTTTTTTCCTTCAGCTTATCTTGGTTAGGGATTTTATTTTCCTTCTCAGTTCAAGATAACGTTCCTAGAATTAAATTACATAACTAAAACTACCCCCCCACCAAAAAAAAAATAAAATGTGAATTTTGTTAGGAATAAGTGCTGTTGTAAATGTAGGCCCTACAGTAGCTTACATTCTGACATGGCTTTACAGGTATGCAATCGTCTTACTTCTAAACATGAACTCTTTAAAAAGGAGACATTTTTTGTTAAGGAATATTGCTCCTTCTGTTTGAGAACAAGTCACCTGTGTTGGCATAGACTCCTGGGAATGCAGTGGGTTTGTTTATTTGTTTATTGATTAGTTGGTGTTTGTACTTAAGCTATAAAGAAACAAGCATATCTAGGCTATGTGGTTGCTTTATACTCTTTTATCCTTTCTTTAGTGAAACCAAGGTTAGTCAAATTTTCTCCTCATCGAGTTTTAGAAAAGAACAAAAGGTATACTTTTAGAAATGGTCAGGACTTTTAACTTTTTCTTTCTCCTTAAAATTTTGCTTTTAAGTAGAGAGAAACAATATAGGAATTGAGTAAGGAAACTTTGTTTTTAACAAATGAACTGAAAAGTGTAAGAGGAACATAAAGTTTGTTTGTGCTTAATACAGGATATGGCCAGTGTGTAACTAGGGAATTTTTTCAGAAAGATTATTTTATGATTGTGGCTGCTGACAATAATGGAAGTCTGTGTAATTTGAGGAGATTTCCAACAAGTGAACTTGCAGTATGAACTCAGCTTACCCTGAGAATGTATGGCATACTAAGAATCCAATCCTTCTGTTTCAATATGGCTTTGGAAGCTTTTTTTTTTTTTAATTGACAAGTCTGTACAATGATAGTTTTTAGGAACAAAGTGCCCAAATTTGGGGAAATGTATAAGAATATAAGATACTCTGATTATGTCCTGTCTGAGCTGTTATGTTGAAAGTTCAGGTTAGCAACAAGGGTGCTTTTTGACCTGTAATCACCCATACATTCCATTCTGTTCTCCCTTGTTCTCAGCAGCTGCTAATGATACCTAATCCTCATGCTGTTTTTAGCACAGAAGCAACTGCTGTGCAAAACATTGTATCAAGCAGTGATGTGATGAAGGGCTGGTTTGCTAATAGAGGCTTTCAGTTTAAAGAATTGTATTGGCTTTACTTTGTTGTTGGAGTTTGTCCCCCATTTCTCCATATTTTTTCTCCTCTTATTCTTTTTCTTCCTTTCTTTCATTGTCATTATTTTTCCTTTTTAGTCCTAGCAATACTAACTTAAGCAGAGTATGGCAGATCATTCTAAGAAGTCATATTCTTACAACATACTTTTTCTTCTTAACTTATAAAACTGTGGTTAGGCATGTAGTGAATTCCTAATTTGATTACTCATAATGACAAAATTATTCAGATGGAATGATTTAGTGGTAGATGGTGGGAATTTAAGAAAATTTAAAAGAAACTGTCTATACTATCTGTTGAGTTCTCTGATGATTGATGGATTGATATGTGGTGAGTATATTTGATAACTGTTACCTTGAATAAAATCTGCTTCCTCCACAGCTTTAGGAAGGTTTATTTGCCTGTCCCATGACTTAAAACATATGAAGATAAATTTTCCCAATTAGGATCTTATTTTCCTATAGACTTATGGGAAAATATATAGACTTCTATATATAGACTTCTCCCACATTCAGCAAATAAACTGGTAATTCATATTCTCTCTCCCCAGCTCCAGTCCTCATAAGGTTAACCTTTACATATTAAACTTCATTCATATTTTGGTCAGTGGCCAATTTTGTGATTTGTGGGTTCAGGCACTGAAGTGTTTCTTCCTTTGACAAGCAATTTTTATTTCTTCTAGGGTGGATTACAGGAAGTTGCTGAACAGTTAGAGCTGGAACGGATAGGACCACAACATCAGGCAGGATCTGATTCATTGCTTACAGGAATGGCCTTTTTCAAAATGAGAGAAGTATGAAGACATCAGTGCATTTTTCTCAGTTGGTTGTTAGGTAGAGAACATTAAAAATCTGATGGGAAAAGTTTGGGGCAATAAGAACCTACTAAATGAAGATGTAATTGGAGGTACTATGTAAGTCACACTTGAGTGAAAGTATTCAAGAATAAATTTTGAAATATAATTCAGAAGGAGATGGAAGAATAAGTTCTTTGTAAAATTAAAAATTTAAACTACCTTAGAAATCATGTAGATCCAACCATTATTATTTCTCAGGTGAGAAAACAAACCAGAGGCTGGTAACTTTTATCTAACATCAAACATGTTTCTAGTAGAAGAATTCCAGAGACCTTTCTTAGACTTCATCAGTGGTACATCTGCCAAGTCTGGGAATTTGTGTTAGTTTTCCCTAACATGCCTTTCTCTTAGACTTTAAACTAAAGTAAAAATTTTATTTGCTCATGCCATTCTTCATTGCTTTGAAGATTTTACAGAGTAGGACTCATGCTTTTTACTGAATTAAGTCTTAGAAGGGGTTTTGAATTCTCAAAGGATGAAACAAAACCCATATTGGGAAGTCCCTCCTTAAGTGACAAAAAGCAGAGGTTATATACCTCAAGTATAAAATTGTTAGTTACGGAAGAATGAAACTTAGTGAACCCAAGTCCACTCTTAGGTTATGAATTAAGTAAGATGCACAGTATACCTTATAGATAACCATAAAAGAAATCTGGTGTGCAAAAACAAAATTGGAGGGGTTTGCCCACAAAAAAAAAAAAAAAAAACACCTTTCCTTTTTGTGAACTATTTGCTGTGGAATTCTTTTGAGTGTGTACTCTTAAGTTTTAGAGTTGACTAAGACAAGCAACTGAAGTTTTTTTGTAGATATGTAAAAGCAAGCATTAAATCTGTTTTGACTCAAGTGATTTGGATTGTCCATTCATGACAAGTAGATACTTTGTTTTGTACTCCTTTCCAGGGCTTCATTATATAGTTAAAACAACCTTTTGGATTTTTTCAGATTTGCATTTTAAAAATGCTTTAGTGGTTTAATTAATGGTGGATTTCTGGCACTAATTTGATACCTTTGTTTTTTTTCTTGGCTTCTTCAAGGGCAATAACCTAATGTGAATGTTCAGATGTTATTGTCTATAACATGTTTAGGGTTTGATTATTTCTAGTCACTTCAGCCTTGCTCATAGATTCAAGGCAGTTTAAAAGCCTTCTTCCCCCATCATCATTGGCTGTTTTCATTCTGTTTAGTATTGAAATTAATGGACTGAAAGTGTCTGCCATTTTTCCATGCTTACAAACTCTCATAAAAGTGATGTAAATATTAACGAGAAAGATGTGCATTTTTTTTGTTGTTCCTTTGAGCTCTGTACTTGTGAAGACATCAGTCTTAATGTTAAATATCAGTATGTGGCTTCAAAGGAATACCATAGAAAAGAGTTGTCACAGCTAGTGAACAGTCATTACTTACATTGCTGAAATATAAATTACAAGTGATACCTTTTGGTTAAAATTATCTTTTTTTTTTCTTCAAAATTCCTTTTTAGATGTTCTTTGAAGATCATATTGATGATGCCAAATATTGTGGTCATTTGTATGGCCTTGGTTCTGGTTCATCCTATGTACAGAATGGCACAGGGAATGCATATGAAGAGGAAGCCAACAAGCAGTCATGACATGAAATAGTCCTTTTATTTTTATTTGACCTATACACATGCTTGTATATAGGTTTTATCTCTGATTGAGACTGTCCCTTGAACTATAGACAATACCTTTTCTCTCTTTTATAGCCCATTTTATTTTCTGCCTTTCAGTACTAAGTACCTTTCCTATCTCAGATCTTAATAAGTAGACGTACATTCAGGTTAAATTTGGCCTTAATTTAATATACTTGTTAGCAAGCGTGTGTGACAGTGAGGAAAGCCACATCATACTGAATAATTTGATAAACTTTGCCTACTTGAGCTTGGTTTTGTTTTTCCCTTTCCTAAATTAACTAGTATTGACTATAATTTATTTCCCTGTTTCATGTCTCTCCCTTCATTCTGCTGGAGTTTTAGGTATTTGAGATTGTGGACCATCAATTTTGCACTTTAGAGAGTGATTCCAGTCCTCTGTTTTATCAGAAATTGTGGTTTTTCTTGCTCTTAGCTGGAAAAATGACCATCTGCCAATTTTATACAGTATTTGCTTGTTTTTGACCTACAGAATATAGCACTTGTATTGTGCAAACTGTTGATTCATCAAAACTAGTAACATCAACAAAAGACAAGGAACTACTGAGGAGCTTAGTAACTACTGTTCTGTCTGTAGTGTTTAATCTTCCAAGCACATCTCATGTCTGTCATTCTAATTGGCATGTGTAGGCTGCTTTGTGACTGAAGAACTTTCAAACCAGCTTTACACCCTTCAGGAAAAAGCCCTCTGATTGGATATTTAGTATCTAACAGAAAATTTCTATTCAAGATGTTGAAGCTACAGTTATTTTATGATAGCACACTTCCCTTTATCTGCTTTTTATTCCATCATTGCTTACCCTTTTTTTATTTTTATAGCCATACTTACAATGCTTTTGATTTGTTGATTACACAAATCAGTTTCATTAAAGTCCAAAGATAACAAGTCTTTAGGTATATCTTATATCAAAATAAAAGTCAAAAATTGTGCTTTCATAGCTACAAAGATAAATAATGGAGCGATTTGGTGCAAAATAACAAAATATATATACACATATATATATATAGCTAATAAAATTACCTGAGGAGTGTAATGCTTGTTTATTTTTTTGTGTATATCTTTGCAATCTATTTTATATATATTGACAAAAGAAACTGAAATATTTAGCCATGCAGAATATGTGACCAGACCAGAGCATGTGTGGGAAGACTTTTTGGTTATCATTAACTCTACCTTGAGTGATGGACTACAAGTTATAATGTGTGTTATCTACACTTCAATCAGTTATATTAGCAAATCTCCAAATGTTAGCAACATTAGTTTCTCTTGTACATTCTTTCTTCATGATAATACAATGCTATAACTGGGTGGTCCTTTTTAAATAGAACATTATTTGCAAAACAGAGGGTATTTGTTTTTAAAGCTTTTGTAAATAAAGGCTTCCGAAATGTTTTCTTAAATGTTGCTGGCTGGTGATTTTGTTTTAGAAATACTTATTTAGGAGGATGTTAAGTACTTGTTCCATTATATTTGCCCAACTGAATGGAACTTAGTAACTTCATTAATGGTAGGTGGTTATTAGTCTTTTAATTGAAAAATCATTCTGTATCTTCTGCATTTTAACAGTGATGGCTTATTCTTTCTCTTTAAGAGTACCTCAACTAGGTAATTAATAATTAGTTTTTCTTGTAATTCCAGTACTTGGGAGATACAGGCAGTAGAGTTCAGAGCCTGCCTAGGCTACACAGGGGTATACTGTCTCAAAAAAACCCAAGTAACAGGAACGTAGCTCAGTTGTATGTAGAGCATTTGCCTAGCATATACAAGGCCCTGGGTTCGTTCTCCAGCACCACAAAAAGGGAAGAAAAATTCTTTCCATGAGTGCATTTATTCTAAGACTGACAAAGTAAAGACATTTGGTATACCTTACTATGGCTTCTTTTTAAAACACATATGATTAAGCAAGTTTCTATATGACATAACTTAGGTAGAGGAACATAACCTTTACTAAATGTAGGTGTTGGATACATTTGGTTCATAATTTTTTTAGGGCTCCTGAGACACCCATCTGGACCCACCCTAGTTTGTTAAATTTAATAGAGCAGGGGTCAGCCAACTAGCCTGTAAGCCAAAATCAGTCTGTTGCTTATTTTTGTGTGGCCTGCAAACTGAGCAAGGTGAGAGAACATGTCCTTAACATGAAAATTACATGAAACTCAGATTGACTGTCCATAAATAAAGTTTTACTGGAATGAAGCCACATTGATCATTTATGTATTGGCTGTGGCTACTTTCCCCCTAGAATAGGGAAGTTGAATTGCTGCTACAGAACTGCCTCTGATGGCCATTTTACATTGCTGTTTGGCAATAAAAGGTGAGATCTGACAACATTTGGAGGGAACATGTATATCACTGTACCACACAGCATTTTTTTCTGTTCTCAATACATGTCCAATATGTCAAAATGAGAAAAGTGCACTTTGCATGGCACATTGGGCCATAGATTTCCCCCTCCCCATTAGGTGTACTCCTGAGATGCCCTCAAAATTGTCCTGGTGCAAAGTACTTGGCCTCTTTTAATGATGATGATCTCTTCAGCAACCACACCTTCACACCTTCCTTGGGCAGGATCTGCTGCCTAAAGGTGCCCACCCTATTTTAGCAGTTTAGGTGATGGTAGTGCTTTGTGGTTATAATGAGGTAAAACTAACTGGTAAAAGAATATAATGTATGTTGACATTACCAGGTAAATACTCATCACAGTGTCCCCAATTTACTGGAAAGCAACAGAAGAATTAGAAAATTTAAGATAGAGTATCTCATCACAGCATAATTTCTTCATGAAAATGAGGCTACAACCAAAATACCTTTATAAGTTGACAATTCATTAACCAAGCAAAAAAAGCCATTTACTCTGACTTTTAATGTAATAGAACAAATAAAGATCTCTAGAGAATGTAAGGCTATCGGCTGTTTGAGGACATTGAAAGCAGTACTGCCTGGCCTTGTTTTTCTTTTCTCTTGCATTTTTACTAGCAAATATTCATTGTACAAAGCAGTTTCATTATATTTCCACCCGTGCATACAATGTACCTTGATCAAACTCATCCCTATTCTTTGAGAATTATTTGAATAATTAGTTTATAATTGATAGTCTGTTAGAAACAATCATAGATAGGAATATATTGAAGGAAGTTGAGAAACCACTGTCAAGCTGAAGCGGAAGTTACTAAAACTAAAACTAGTGGTTGTGAAAATATGCATGGAGCACGAAGTGGTTCAAATGGCCTAATTTATAAAGCTTACAAAAATAAGGTGTTTAATAAAGCCTATAGCTATTCACTTTTATCAGTGGACACTGCAGAAAAACTGGTTATAGTACTGTTAGTGCCAACAAGTTCAGTCACTGTGGACTTTATCAATTCCATAAATTTTTGTATGAAACCACATGGAATATCTTGATTTCACCTGTGATATAAAAGTTAATACCTTAGCATTAGTAACATTTTAATGTAATTTGTAAACCCAGGGCTCACAGTGAAACTGTCTGTCCTCAACCACTGTTTGGAACAGAGTGGTTTTGGAAATTACCTTTTACTTGATAATGTTTCTTAATGAATTTGACATAAAATTAGAAAATCAAAGACTGGTAAAATTTCAACAAAAACTAACATGTAAATCAAAAGAATGTCAAGCTGATTTATATACTTTGTGTTATCAAAAGTTAAAGCAGAAAGTGAGATCATTCCCATATAAATTGTCATCAGATATGTTTTACTGCGGTTCCTTCAGCAAACTTTTTTTGGCAGGGGGAGGAGTCTTGACTCAAGTGAAAAAAACTTGTCATATTTCAAAATCCATTTAACTGCAATTGAAGACTTTCCTCTTAATCTATTGGACATGAATAATCTGCAATTAAATGACAGCAAGAAAAGACCAATGGAACCATACATGCCTTTACAAATGATGAATGTGCTTAAGTAAAATCACATGCTTGGATGACCATTAAGTTTTGGCAGTACCATGACCTGTAAAGAGAACTTCAAAGATGATATAAGTAAAATCTCATTATAGGTGATCATTTTCAATTGATTATGATGATAAGGAAGCTGGTGAGCTCATATTAGGTAAAATTTTACACACATACCCCCACCATTCCACTTTTCTCAATGTTCTTGACTTTGGCTTTTAGCATACAGAGCCTCAAACATTTTCTATTTGACCTTCTACAGAAAAGGTTTGTCCATGCCTCTCTCTACTCAAAGGGTCCATATCTGTCCAGTTGGCTGCTGCTTCTGTAATGCCAGATGCAGTGGTTCCTTTGGATAAACGGCTTGAGGTGGAATCAAATTACACTTAGGAATTACCCTCTTCCATAGGATGAGTATGCTAGAGTTTGTAACTTCTTAAATTGAAAGAGAAAAATAACTGATTAAATTATTTCTCCTGACTGTAGGTACCTCTGTATTAACCCACTTGACATATACCATTGGCTGTGTTGCAGGGTATAGTTTATATGACAATATTGTTTCAGATATACATTGCCTTTTACTTGTTTTTCTGTTGGGGCACTGTAAAAATGTAGGACTACATACAAATCATCCAAATCCTTTCCATTTTCAGACTTAAAAATTTTTTTAGATAGTAGTTAACTTGGGGGCTGGGAGAGTGATTGAAGTGGTAGAACACCTGCCTAACAAGCATAAGGCCCTGAGTTCAAACCCCAGTTCTGCCAAAAAAAAAGTTAAATGATAATCATAGGCATATCAAAAGTTAAATGATAATCATATACATTCTTTTATTTTGCTTATTTATTTTGCTGGTACTGGGGTTTGATCTCAGGGCCTCATGCTTGCAATACAGATGCTTTACCATCTCAACCATGCCTCTAGCCTCCTGTACATTCTTACAATTTCCAGTTGTTCTGACTTACATTAGCTTTCTGTAGCATTAATCAGTTATATTTAAGATACAGTATAAAAGCAAACAAGCAATCCCTGATAAAAATGCATTTCATTGCTTTATAGCCATAGCTTGTAGTTGAAATGAACCATGCTGCTCCTTTCTCCAAAATTACTCATTTTCCTTGTGAAGAATGACTGGTGAGTACTGTACTTCCTGGCATGCAAGAATTTGTTGGATAGAACTCTGGTTTTATTGTTACAGAAGAGAAAAATGCACTGCTTTCACCTACCTGTTCTGGCTCCTGGATAAGGACAAGAATCCTTATCTAGTACCATACCAAGAAACGTGTTCCTTTAGTTTCAGACTTAATATCATCATTTGGATTCCAAATTGTCAAGAAGTTTCCATCTGAAGAACCCAGAGAAACTGAATATTTTAATCTTAACTAGTCATCTCATAAGTCTGATAGGGACCCATCATACATTTTTAGTTTTGTTTTCTAAACAAAAATTAACATTAAGTATTAAAACCACTACAGAGCCCATGTATAAAGAGAGTAACAAAAGTCATTCTTGACCTACACACACACACACACACACACACACACACACACACACACACACACACACACGGTTTCCTTATGTTAGTTCTTTATAACCATTTTGAGCCTCATCCAGATTCTCTACTTGTTGCCTAAATTTATTTTTGAGGCACTTTTGCACATGTTTACATATTAATCCAAAATTAGTGTGTAATTAAGGTTTTTTCTAAATATTCAACTTTCACACAATAGATGTTTAATTAGGAATACACTTTAGGAAGCCATACATACTGACAGAAAAAAAAAGCAATCTCAATTCTGCCAATAACCTTGCTTTGATAGCTGGATAAAAAATCTGAAGAACCAAAGATTTCTAGGGTTGGTATCAGTTCTTTAATTCAGCATGGTGTAATTCTACTTTGGCATGTAAGATTTTTTTCTCTCAATTTGAATAAGCACCTTTATCTGTCAAACAGAAACTATTAGAAATAAATTTAGGTCAGAACATTAAGCCTTCTTTGTAATGCAACATGTATTTGTTTTTATAAATCATAAAATAGTAGTGTCCTTTCTGAGCAATGGGGAACTCCATTATGTAGTATAAACCAGTGCTTCAAATCCCTCTTAAAGGTTCCCCATTGGCTTAATTGGTGTTAATAGAAATAAGCCAACTTGGAAGATAGTCTAAACATACATTTCCCAACAATTACAATATAAGCATGCTGTTGCTGGCTATGGACAAAACCATCAAAGATCTATCTGTGAACACTTGTTGCCAGTTTTGTTTTTACTTTCACTTTCCAGCAATGAGAAAGGGCTGTAAATGATTTAATGTCTGTATTGGCATTGCTCAGATGATCATATCTGTGCTTTTTTCTGGTATAAGAGGACAATTAGAAGGTGTCAGAGACTGAGTGATTAATTGCCTAGGCTTTAGTAATGTTAGCACACCCTCTACTCACATCTCAAGGGGACTTTAAGGAAGAAAGACAGATACCCTATTTCAGAGTCT